CCCCTGGCCACACTCAGGCTCCTCTTCAGCTCCCTGCCCAGCCCAACTCCCAGCTCCCTTCCTGCCTGGCTGCTCTCCAGCCCCTCTGGCCCAGCCTGCAGCTGCAGGGGCTTCTTGTGGCCAAAGGGCAGGACCCGGCCCTTGGCCTTGGGGAACCTCAGCATGGTGGTCCATGGTGGGCTTCACCCTTCCTGGTCCTTCTGACTCTAGAAAAAAATGGAGCCTAAATAGGGAACCCCAAACTCATTCCTCCATGTTGCTGAAGCTGTTCCAGTCCTTGAAAAAAACCTTCCCTGGAAGCTGGATGGCTTCACCAAAGAGCAACACATGTCACTGAGACATGGATGTATTAATAACCAACCAAATTTGGCACTTTAATGCAGAATAAGTTGGCATGTTTAAACAACCAACTAATGCAGGCCCCTTATAGAGTCATTATTTTAATTCAGGAAATTAGAGTTCTTAACTCTTTTTGCATACAGCAAATAAATTACTTCCTAAATAGCTTGAGACAACCAACCAACCAACCAACAAACCACTACCACCCATCCTGCCAATAATTATTTTTAACTCACTTGCTTGAACATTTAATATTGTCTATCCTCGGGTTATTATGGAGAATTAAATAAAAAACAACAAGAAAAGTATTTTGTGCTGCATCTGGAAGCAGTTAATTAGCAAATGAACTGGAAATAAGTGAGACCTTCTCACTGCAGGATCTTTTGCAATAAATAGCAACTCCTTGGTGCTCCAGAGAAGGGAGCAGAATGGGAGCTGCCTTCGTGTTGGTACCAAAGATGTTGACTCTGAAAGAGCTGCTGAAGCTTTACAGAGGATTAAGGAAAAAAAATAATGAATGGAATGAAAGGAAGGAGAGATCAAAGGTGGTGGATTGAAACATTAGCTCTGTGTGTATCTACAGAGGGGAGCATCCATGCTAAGACCTCTGTAGGGGTCAGATGCTATTCTGTGATCAGCTGTCTGGGGTTAATGAATGTAGGGATTGAAATTGGCTGTGGGGATGATGAAAGTGTTTGTGTGTGTGGACACACATGTGAGAGGGAGATTCAGCACCCCTTGTTTCTCCTGCCCATTTATTGAAGCTGCTGAGTTACTCGTCCTGAGGGAAAGCAGCTTGAGACCACCTACCTGCACCCCACAATTAAATGTGTGCTGTAGTGAATGTGTTACTCAGCCTCCCACCCAGTCCCACAAGTCCTCCTTGCTGACAGATCAGGTTTTCTAATGGTTGTCTCCCCACAGTTCAATGAATTTTGGCTCTTCCAAGTGGAAGGAGCAAAGACAAGCAGAGATCTCTGATTACACAGCCAGCCAAGCACAGGACTGCCTGTGCCAGCTCCTGCCTCTCCTTCCTGCCAACTAACCCCAGTCTTGGCCTCCAGCAATTTCACCAGCCCATGCCAGAGCCCCTCTGAAGATCAGAACCTCCCAAAGACTTTGCAGAGAGCTGAGCCAACAACCTCCCTGGCCTTGGCCATGGTGTAGCTCCCGATTCCCTGGCCCAGGTATTCCCAGAGAAGAGCCTGTCCATCTGCAAGAGCCTGATGCAGATTTTAGGCTGGCAGAACTCACCTGGGCTCCCATCAAGCTCTCTGTCACCACTGAGGTCACACAGGCTGTGTGGAGACCCCAACAGTGGTGGGCACTGTCTCACTGTCCTCCCACCTCTGTGGTTCAGAGAGTCGGGATGGAGGAGGAAGGTGTGGGCAGAGCATTGACAGAGTGATGCTGCAAACCACAGAGTGCAGCAAAGGTGAACCTCCTTCAGTGACAGGAGGTTATTTTTATAGGGGTTGCCACAAAAATACTGGCCTCTTGGTAGTGTGAGGGTCATACAAAGCTGGAGTGACACTGGGAAGTGTCCTGCTCTGTCACACAACTTCTTTTCCTTGCCCCTACACAGCAGTAACTAATTAATCCAGTCTAAAAATCAAGCCACAACAGGGTGAAAACCAAGGAGAAGCTTAATAGAGTAGGCCTAATGAACACAGATCTGTGAGAGTCTTTCAAATAAGTGAGGGATCAAAGAGAATTTAACAGGTAACAAGTGACAGGATGAGAGGAAATGGCCTCAAGTTGGGCCAGGGGATGTTTAGATTGGATATTAGGAAAAATTTCTTCACTGTAAGGCTCGTCAGGTACTGGAACAAGCTGCCCGTGGAAGTGGTGGAGTGACTATCCCTGGAGGGATTTAAAAGATGTAGATGTGGCACTTTGGGACATGGGTTAGGGTGGAATTGGCAGTGCTGGATTAATGGTGGGACTCAATGATCTTAGAGGGCTTTTCCAACCTTAACAATTCTATGATCTGAGTTGGCAGCCACGATCTCCCCCTTTCCATATGGATTTTTAATGAGGTGCAGTTTTGTCCCTAGTAGCACACAACATTAGAAGCCACAATATCCCCACCACACCCCTGTCATTGAGGACCAAACAGGGAGGAATGAGAGGATTCAGAAGCATCAGGTGTTGGTTTCTTACCTCCAGATCCCTCAGAACTGGGTGATCTTCAATGCCAGGGAAAAGCACCCTCATGGTGTAGGTTCTGTAATCCAGGAAAGGGATCCCGGCTCCATCCAGGTCACTGGTCAGCTCGTGGATATCTGTCTGCAGCTCTGCAAAGGCTGGCAGAAAAAAAAGGAATGACTCAGGTAGCAGTGACAACCCAGACCTCCCTCCCCATGATGGGAAAGGCCCTCACACCCACATGCATGAGACTAAGCCACAAGTGGAGAAGCAACTTGTGGAGAGGAAGAAGAAGGTGGACAAGAGCAGTGTCACCTTTCCTATACCACAGCCTTTCCCCGGGGACATGTGCCAGGGATTTCTCTGGACTGTGAGTTAGGACAGGCTGGAGGAAGACTGGGCTCAGGGAAAACAGCCAAAGTCAAATTAGACCCAGGCTTGAAGGCTCAACGCTCTTTTTGCTTGTGCTGTTTTGGCTCAAATCTTTGTGGCTGGATGTCTCTCTTCTACCAACACTGACACTGTGCCAGCTGCCCTCCTCATCCTACCTTCTTTGCACTCCAGAGCCACCCTGGACTCCAGGTTGTCCATCTGCATCTGCAGGCGCTTGAGGGTGAGGTCGCTCTCCCGGGATTTGCGCTTGTAGGCGATGAGCACGGCCACGATGAAGATGATGAGCAGCCCACCAGCCACAGCAATGCTGACAATGGCTGGCAGGCTCAGAGGGCTGTCTGGAGAGATGTAGACCATCCCTGGGGAGAACTCCATGCCTCCTACACGAGCCTAGAGGGAAAGCAGGAAAGGGTTGCGTTGAAACTGTCAGGGGAGCAGGGACACGGAGGAACTCCATCATCTCCTTGGCTTAGGCCGAAGGATGAGCTCTTGTCTCCCAAGCCAAAAAGGGAAGTGTTTGGATAGAGAACAGCTTAAAAATACCTGAAATGCCATATAGAATCATCTCTGTTGACAGAGTGACCATGAACCCAACCAACAAACGACTTGTGGTGGGACAAGTCAGCGGTCTCAATTTCCTGGCTCAGTATCAATTCAGACTTCATTCTGTGCTTTCCATTCCTTGTCCTGAACACTGTGATTTGCTGGGCACTGACGTCACTTAGTCCCAAAATACACACTCATGGTTATGGTTTGGGGCATCACACCCCGCAATGGGACGGGGGACACCTGACCCAGTCAGTACAGTGGGACTGCAGAAATCAGTCACTGTTTTCTTTTGACTCTTCCACCAGATAAAACTGCATCAGGAAGCCTCTGAGACAGTAAGAAGAAGCCTACAAAGACCACAAAGTCTGGTCCATGCTCTTTACAGCCCCTTTCTCAGCCACACATTGGCATGGTACAGATGCTCACCAGTGGGACAGGGAGTTGAGCACAGCTTTTTGTTCTCCATGCACTTCTGGGGATTCCCAGAGCTGCTGCCAGCCTCTGGAAGGAGCTGCTGTGTGAGGACCTTTCTTTTAACAACCAGCAAGAAACCCTGCAAGCATTCCTGCTGCAAGGCCAACAAAATGATCTGCTGAAGCAGGTCTGTTAGGAGTCCATTTTTACAACAGGAACACCACTCCTAGCAGTAATCCCACAGGATCCTGCTTGCTCAGGGCTACTACAAGGTTGTTCAAAGCTATTTGAGGAGCTTTGTCACTGAGAGACACAGTTGGACCTGCACAAAGTGCAAAATCTTGCTGCCAGGTAGAAATGCAGTCAAGACCTCAAGGCTGAGTGTTTCCCACTCCCATTGCAACTGGGACCACTGCAGCACACAATTAAACTGCTTTTTCCCTCTTTTATGAGGAGGATCCCTCACGTTTCCAGTTCCCACAGCAGCTGGTGAAAACACCTCCCACATCTCAGTCTGGTGTCCAGCCTTGTCCCCTGGCTCTCAGCTCATCAGTCTGTCTCCAGCCTGCCTGTGCACACACTGATCCCAGGCCTCCCATGGCTCAGCTCAGGCACCTGTTCAGGTTTTCCCTCTGGGTTGCAGGAGGAGGGATCTGGTCCAAGGAGGAAGGGTTGGAGCCAGAAGAGACTATGGAGCAGAGTCATGAATTAATGAAGAGTTTTCCAGCTGTTCACCACCACAATCCTTTCTGGGGACATGAATCTCTGCGACCCCACCATCTCCTAGAAATTATTCCAGTCCCAGATGCAACCTCAGAGAAGATGCTGGTTTTGCTCTACTACCAGGTGTAGACTGCTCCTTAGTGGGTCCTGGCCAAAGACACACAGCTACAACCCTTATGTCATGGACAGGACAAAAGTGAATGTCTGAAAATACCTTATTTCCATCCACAAAGTCCTCTCATACTCTTTTTTAGATGGGCTTTAGGAAGATAATGTCCACAGTGAGAAATGAAACCAACCCCAAATTTATCTGCCCAGGTAATAAAGATGGCCATTCCTGCAGTATGACACTGATAACTTGTAGAGCATCTTCAGAGGCCAAAGAACAACCCATGTTGGTTGAGGAGGCAGCAGTGACCAATTTTCCCATCTATTTAAAGATCCAAGGCCCAACTCACTTATAAAACCTGCACAGGGCAGAGGTTTGGGATTGGTATGTGACACACTACCCAACTCACATCCTGATCCATGCACTGAAAGCTGTTCCCTTTTACTGTAGACCACTGTTCCAAATCCTCCCTCCTAAAGCTTGCACAGTTTCCTTCCTGTCACAGTGGATCAGTAAATGAATTTATTCCATTTCATTTTCTCTTTCCAACAGTGGCCCTTTTCCTCCAAGCCCTGCAGTTAGACGAGTCTATTCAAGGAGTATCAGACTAAAATCAAACAGGCCCGTCCCAAACCCCAGTGCAGGTCTGTCCTCAAAGCTCAGAGAACAGCCCATCTCCATGGGTGGGATTTCTCTCTCCAAATATTCCACATGCACATCTGAGTTAGACATTCCAGCACGATTTCAGAGTCAATAAAGAGAAAAAGCACTTTTAGGATGTGATTTATGTGAGCTGCTTTTGACACCTTCTTTGACATCAGGATGAGATGTTTGATTCAGTGGAAGTTCCCATTTCTCTCCATTAACTAGGAGAGGATTTAGACTCCTAAAGGCAGGTGTCTAACCAAGTGTGTTCCTCTCCAAAGGTGATTTCAACACTGTGAAGGTCTCACAGTCCACAAGTAAAACTGCCTTGATGTGAGAGAATCTGCCTCTTGAAGGAGAAAACCTAAGAGGGTGCAATATTATTTTGAGAATTTAAAAGAAAAACAGGTAAATATATAGATATAGCCCTACTTTATTTCTTGGGCCACCAAGTGGTTCTAGAGGAAGCTGTTTATGCCTTCCAGAAGACTGAACGTGAACCCTCCGTATTACCAAGCACCAGTTTGGCCACATGTTAAGCCTATTAATCATGAATTTGTTCTAAGGGGCACTATGGCAAACAGTTTTCTCCAACAAAGTCTTAGGGGTCACCTGTAGCAGTTCAGGAGCTTCTCTTTTCAAAACTTGCCTGTGGTGCATGTTTGTCCTGGCCCAATGGAATTGTCTAATTTAAGATGAGAGGAAATGTGCCCTGAACTTCAGTTGCTGCATTTGACCATCTCTCCATCCACTACAGAAAGAGTCCAGTGTGAATTTCTGGATATAAGCACCTGAATTAGATACCAGGAACCCTTTAGATGTATCCCACATCTTCACTGCAGACCTTCTCCAGCATAGTTTGAACGGAGGAGCAGGGACATGGTGAGACTCTTGGGGATGGTCCTGTGCAGGGGTGAGAGCTGGACTCAATGATCCTTCCAACTGGGTCCCTTCCAACTGGGTCCCTTCCAACTGGGCATATTCTGTGATTCTGTGATGGGTCTTCCTCATGTTTCTTTCTTTTCCTTGGAAAAAACTTACCTCTGAGTTTAAGTCCCTCTTTTTTTTTTTTAACCATCGCTCAAGGCTTTTTATTCCTTTCCTATTTTTTTTTCAAATACTTAACTCTGTCATTGTACAAAAGACAGCTGAACCAGATCAAAAGTGTGTTGACATCAATGTGTGCCATTGTCACTGCTCCTTCCCTTAGTAATCATCTCTGTGTTGTCGTGGTTGATGCACTCCCATGGCCCCCTCTCAGATCTTGGCCACCTCACTTTGCAAGGAAGGGTTTGTTCAACGATCTCCTCAAGGTCACCCAGCAAATCATTGGCAGAAACAGGAGGAGGACCTGGGAGAGCTGCCTGTCCATTGTCCTGACCATCAAAAGATGTTCAAATGAAACAACACAGCGATACATTTTGTACCAGCCCCAACAACAAGAGATGCTGTGTCGTGCTGGAGGGGGCATCTCCCAGCCCAGCTGTCCCCTGTTAAGCTCCAGATGCAAAGTCCATCCTTGAGCAATGGCCTCCATCACAGGTGACCTTCTGCCTTTTGTTCCCAGCCCAGATGCTGTCAAAGTGTTGCCTTTCTGTTGGCAGTTGAATAAAATCTGTAACTTGCCCTAAAATTGATGCTCATTGACAGGCTTCAATGCCACCACCTTCCCATGTTTCCAGCATCCTCAAAAAGGGGTTATTTTTTAATCTTTTGCTTCACTTAAACTCAAGTCCCAAGCTGCAGGAGCAGGGGACTCTTCCCAATTGGTACAGCCTGACCAGATGTTCATCCTCCCTGATCCCCAGGGATTTATTTATTACTCATCTGACTTGGAGTTCTCTCTCTCTAGGCTTAGCTTTGCCCACCTCTGACTGACCATATGTTTAATTATATCTATGAAAACGACAGGGAACATCCTTTGCCACGTTCCAAAGCTTTGGTGTTCACACAGAGAAAATCTCTCACTTCATTATTGCTCTTCTTGGAGCGTCTTGATGTGCTTTGCAATGAAACCAGAGTCATGGGATATTTGCATGGCTGGAAAGGATTATTCCCTCTATTTTCCAGATGACAAACTTTGGCACAGAGAAGTGAAGTAGCCAGTGTGAGGTCTCCCAGCAGCACAAGACCCAAAATGATCATCATAAACTGAAAGTTCCCAAAAACCTCTACTACTGAAGAGCCATACAGTGTATCTCCATCATCTATGGGTCTCATTGCACTGAAATAAATAAATATGTCACAGGTGCAGCTTTGGGAGGGCAACAGAGAGGTGGAAAAAAAGTCATTCATGAGGGATAAGTAACACTGATGTCACTTGTCAGCTTTTGTTGTTTCTACCCACAGCCTGGTCCAGCTCCAGTGAGTTTGCTAATGTGCTGTTTATCAAGCAACAGCATCAAGGAATGCAAATCACTGAGAGCAAAGTAAAGAAGGAGTAAATAAACCAGTTGTGAGAGGAGGAGGAGCTCCCTCTGATGTAATCACTAGGTCCATTCTTCACAGGTTCCAGGAAGGATGTGCAGGAGTAAACTAAGTTTTATAGATGTCAAAACTTCAAAGTCCAGTCACACTGTCATCCATATCCTGCATTTTTTTTTCTTTCCCACATTAAGGCAATTTAGCCACCAGCATGTCAGTAATTGGTGGGGAATGTGCTGAATTTAACAAAGTATGTCATGTAGGAACATGTTACATGTATGATCTCACATGAGCATCATAGTTCATGAGAAAACAGAAGAGGGGCAAACTTTCCTAAAGGTTTTTGTTTATGAAAGGTTCCTGTCCACAAAGATCCCTGGGTCACTCCTCTACTCTTCTACTTCTCCGAGTTACACTTGAAGGGGATATTAGATCAAAAAAGGACCTTGATGTTTCTGGGGAGGCAAATAGTGATGAAAACTCCTCAGAGATCCCTCCCAGCTCTCCAGCATTGCTGTGCCCTCCCAAGCCACCCAGGGAGTAGAGGCTGAGGCTCAAGCACCACTTACCATCACCTTGTGCCTTCCAATGAGGTTTGGGGACTCACAGAGCAGCTGCACATCTGACACAGTCACTGCACAGGGTTTCTCCCCGACCAGAACGGTGTAGTTCAGCTTGGCATTCCCTCCTGCCACTGGTGGGATCAGGTTCTTGCCCTGGACAGAAAGGAATATCACCCCACAAAATCAAATAAACACCAGCAAAGAGTTTTCTTTCCCCCTGTAGTTCATTCCTAGGACACAAGTTTTGACATTGCACTTCATAGCTGTGGCTGCCCCATCCCTGGAAGTATCCAAGGCCAGGTTGGACGGAGCTTGGAGCAACCTGGGATAGTGGAAGGTGTCACTGCCCATGGCAGGGGGTGGAACAAGATGATCTTTAAGGTCCCTTCCAACCCAAACCATTCTGTGATTGTTATGACATTTGTAGTTCACCATTTGCTGACACAGAGAGGAAAAGCCAAATTAGGAAGTCAACATGAATGGCTAAAGACTCAAATCAGGCACAACAGCCTGTCCTGCTCCCTTCTCTCTGGAACTGAATTAGAAATGTTGCATCTAAGTCTTGCACAATCAAGTACTCACTAAACATAGTCAGGCAAGGAAGACAGACCCCCCTCCAAACGTGTAAGAAGCACAATCATCTCTTGGCATATGCACCACGTAAAAGAGCTGATACAGAAATGTTCCATCATAAAATCCCTCCTCTGTATTGCTGTGCAGATTATAGAGATGACAAAGGGCTGGCCTGGGTTTAAACAGGGGTGAGAGGAAGGTCTTGCAACCCCAAAAAAGAAATAGAGTTGGGTATTTAATTGTCAGCCCTGTTGCAATCATAAAAACTGCTCTCTGGTGAGCAGCAGTTGGTACCAATTTGGGCTGCACATGGATAGTTCCAGCAGGAGTTAATATTTCTTGGTTATGGGTATTAGCAGTGGTTGGTGCTTGCAGATTGTGGCTGATATGATGCAGTGTGGTAGGGGCAAGGAACGGAGGAAGTTTTTGGGATGCCACCATGGTTTGTAGGGTGCTGGCAGGCACAGAGAGGCAACAGGCCACGTGTGTTTGTCCTTCCCCATCCAGGCCTTGGTCCCCATCTCACCTTCAGGATGATGGGACTTCCTGGCTTCAGCTCCAGGATCCCCGAGGGGTTGAAAACCTCGAAGATGGGGTTGGGGTAGTAGGTGAAGTTGGTTTTGTTGAGGATCAGCAGGGACTGCACGTTGTCAAGGATGAAGCCAAACTCCTCTGGGCGCTCGGCGAGCTCCGACTGGTGATTGGGGTCCACAGCCAGGGCTGGGGCCTGGCAGGTCATCTCTGTGCTGTTCTGCACCTCACAGTTCTGGGGAAAGAAACCCAACATGAGCAGTGTTTGTGGAAAACGTCCCTCCTGGTGGGCAGATGCCACTCAGATGCTACCCTACCCACTGCTGGGGGACAGGGAGGAGCAGAACTTTCTGGTTATTGTGTGGACTGATTTTGGTTATTATTGTGCTCCACTGCTTCAAAATGTTCCTCATCATGAAATCAAGGCTGGGAAGGGATTAGGAACACTGCTGGGGTAGGTGTGTGGAGCAGTTTGCCCTTCAATTGGGCATCCTGTGCCTCTTGAGGGAGCTCAGCTTCTGGGGTTGCCAGTGTCAGCATCTTTCCCTAACTTCATTTCCTTCTGGAAATACGAATTTCTTCCTTTTTTTTTTTTTTTTTTTTTGTACAGCACCGACTAGTCAAAGTCTCTCTGTCACACCACAATTAGATCTCTGGGCATCACTCCAAAAGTGTCTGTTGTGCTCAAGATTCCAGTTTGAACATCAGGTTACCTGAAATGAATCCCAGGAAGCTGGAGAGGGGAAGAGATAAGGGTAGGAGACCCTGAAGTTTGGTTCCAGCCCTGCCAAAAATTTCCTTTTTTTGTGTGTATTTGAGAAATGAGCAACAGATTGTGACAGGTGTTTTACCCTAACTAAAGGCCTAGGAATTAGGTGCCTGGTTGTCCTTTAGGACTTGAGCCTTCATTTTTCCTCATCATAGTTGCTACCATAATGCATCCTGGTCTCACCAGGAACCAACAGGATCTGTGGGGAAACAGGATCTGTGGGATCTTTGTGGATTCTCGACATGAGAATCTTCTCCTAACCAGTGTGATACCTCCAGCACTGAGAGCACACTCATTATTCCAGCTGGAATTGCCCAAGGGCTAAAAGGTCTTTGGTTCAAATCAGCAGAGAGAGAAGTGACTTGGACCAGCCAGTTCCATATTGTGAGGTCAGTCAGATGTTCTGGGCTGTAACAGCTCTCCCGAGGAACAAAAGGCACTGGAGAACTTCCCAGCACAAAACTGAGTTCTACATGAGCATGTGGGAGGTGATGGATTGGCTTCATCATCTGCACAGCACAGGGTTGTTTGAGACCAGCGTGTCAGGCAAGAGCTGGAGTCTCCTGGGAGAAGAAGTCCTACAGGCTTCTAATCCTGCAGAAAAGCTGAGAAGGGTTTGGCTGTGGTGTACCAGGATATACAAGGCATTGCCAAAACACACCCATGAATATCCATGGTCAGCTGGAGCAGGATTCTCCCAGAGTCCATGGGAGACTCTCTGTCAAGATTCACATCAGACCCAGAACCCAACCTCAACAGGTATATCCTGAATCTGGTGGGGCATGAGAGGCAACAAAACTCCTTTGGGTTTGGCTTTATGAAAGGAGATATTAGTTCATGACAGAGCTGGGATAAGACCAAAATTCAGATGTCTCAACCTCCACACTGCAGATGCAAACGAATCTGCCCCATATATTCCTGCATTTTCTTTTTGGATCTACCACAGTTTTGCTGCTGTTCATGTGGCAGCAGATCATTTGTTGTCTGAGAAGTGCTTTGAGAACCTTGGGTGGGAAGCTCATGGATTAATCTGAACACTTGAGAAATGCAAAGGATCTGGACTTTCCGCCCTCAACCCAATTATTTTTAGAGCCTCTTCTTTTGGGAGGGTCTTCCACATTTGGTCTCAGAAAGTGCCCATACACAGCCAACACTTTTTCAGATGCTGTTGTGTGGCCCCATCCTCCAGCCTACTGTAGATACCACCAGGTGTTGCCTATTCCAGAATCTCCTAATTAGAGGTGCCAAACTCACACCTTTTACAGCTCTACCTGGAGCTGCTCAGCAGCTACTGGCAAGTGGCTCCTTCTGAGTGAATTATCTCCTAGACCCTGACTCTGCTGGTCTCCTCAGAGCTTCTTCTGATTCCTCACTGATTCCTCACTGAGAGTTGAATTAGGTTGTAAATCTAACTGGCTAAACTTGGATAATCTCTTGCAGGATCCCAAATAGCCCATGGAGTGGACACAGTAGTACCAAAGAGTGTTATTCTGACCCAAACATGCTCAGTTTATAACCTGAATTTGGGCCTTCTTATGCACATAAATAACACAGGTTATACATGTGACAAGAGAGAGGACAGATGTCCTTGAGCCAACAGAAGAAACAGGTTTAGAAGAGACCAGGAACTTCATTACACCCCTCTCATTCCCCTCTTTGGTCCTATACTCCTTCAGGGACGAGGTAATGTTCTGGAAGCAAGTCATGCCCTCTTTTTGGGATGCAATTCCAAGCTGCAGAGCTGTTAGCCAGCCCCTAACACCACCATGGCCATGTCCCCTCCCCAGCCCAGCAGCCACACTCACATTGACGTGCTCCTTCCCACCGTGCTTCGCCCGGATCTGAGGGTTCTGGATGAGATCCAGGTGAGTTCCCCACACTGCAATGGGTGTGTTGCCACTAGAGAAGAAAGGGAAGAAAATAAAGAACCCAGCCAGTAGATATCAGGACTGATCCCACCGAAAATGTGTGATCTGTGTTTCTAAATGCTGGTTGCAAAGTATGTGACCACATCTCGCAGTGCCACGGGGAGGGAAGGAAGAACAAAACAAAAAAATGATTTTTAATTTATTCATAAGGAGAGAAATAACTAAAACCACATGTTTGCTAAAGCTGTCACATCAGGCAGAATCTGGATGTTTTTCATTGCCAGGACTCAGCAATCACAAGAGTTGATAATGGGAGGAAAGGTGGAGATTTAACAGGGGCTCCTCAGAAGGGTCCATGGGCTTTATCTCCTGTATTGCTTCAATCAGTCCCAGAATACCCTGAGTTGGAAATAAACCACAAGGATCATCAAAGTCCAGTTCCTGGCCCTGCCCAGGACACTCCAAAAATCCCACCACGTGTCTGAGAGCATTGTCCAAATGCTCCTTGAGCTCTGGCAGCCTTGAGACCATGACCATTTCCCTGGGGAGCCTGTTTAGTGCCCAACCCAAAAAGCCCTTATAGATACTGTCCCATGCAAGCAGCTCTTGAGGATTCAATGCTACCTGGTTGAGGTCTGTAGTCCCATCTTGCCTATTAAACCTGCCATAAAACTTCACCCTGAACAAGAAAATGCCACCTCACTGAACAATTTTTGGTGCTGCTGAGGAGCCCAGTCCTGCAGCATCTACAAAAAACCAAGCCAAAGTCTTCAGCCTTGGTGTGCAGAAGGTTTTGCCTTGGTGACCCAGGCAGATCAGCTCTGCCATGTGTGTTGGATCCAACATATGACAGCACAGAGATTTCCTCTTGCTGCATCCCTTTGCTCAAAGACCAGTTTCCTGAGAAAGCCAATCCATCCAAATCACAACCTACAAGTCTCTGGGAGATTTTGTCCATTTTCTAACAGCTCTCTCAGCCCAGATGAGATGGGGAGATGCAAATGGAGTTCATTCCCTGCAATCACTGTCACCAGAAGGAAAGAGCTTTCAGAAACACCCTTCTCTCCTTTCCCTGCCTCTTCCAGCTGCAGCCAGTGCTGCTGCTGATTGTGGGACTTCAGGGAGCAGGGGGGAGGGAGGAAGGAAACTGCAAAGGACCATTCCCAGGCTTCAGTAGGGTTGGCTTTGAACCCCATGTTAAGGGGAAGGGTTCACCACAGGCAGCTTTGGCCATCCCAGATTGGAGCAGCCTTGCTCTACCAGGGTGAGCTCTCCCTTTGCTCCATGTGGTGGGGGCAACACCATGCAAGGCCTGGAAGGGGAAGAGTTATCCAAGAAAGCAAAAGCTGCAGCTGTCAGGGCTCCCACAGCCAGGACAGGATGAGGAAATGTCCTCAGCAGACAGGCCCATCTCTGAGGGCTTCCCAGGGTGAGGAGTGCTCTCATCAGATTCAGCACCTGCCTCTATAACTCCCCTTGGAAACTGTCCAGGATGCAATTTATTTCCTTCTGAGAATGGGAGAAATCGAGGGGATTGTGAAAAGAAAGCTCAGAGTCCCTTTCCTGCCTCCAGGTAAACCTACAGATACAGGAAAGGTGGAACACCTGCATTATGAACGAGGAAACACCAGAGAATAAACACGCTGTGAGGAAGGAGCCAACAGATCTCCCCCATTCCCGACCTTTGTTTTCCATGTTCCTCATTTATCTTCCATTAATAATCAGATGGGGAGGCAGGAATGAATGCAAACAGACCTCTCTGCTCACAGAAGAGCTCTTAGGTTTTGGTGAGCTGGGCACAGATAGTTGGGACTGAGCTTCAGCCCCTCCAGCTGCACCCACATGGATAAACCAAAGAGTTTTGGTTTATCCCAAAAGAACTGGCACAATCATATCCTTCAGCAGCTGCTCCTGTGGACCTTCTCTGAGAGGTTCTTCATGCTCTTTCATTCAAGTAATGTCTGGACTGGCCCATGTTTAGGACAACATTTGAGTTTTGCAGACTATCTCAAATTCTTGCTCTCTGAAAATGTCAGCTCTGATGGGAAATTCCTAATGGGAAATTTTATGGAGCAAACCCACGTTTTACCATATCTATGAGATCTGTTTGGATGGGTGAGCTTTCTTGAAATCTTTTCTGAAGTCATACACCTACTTACAAGAGACTTTCCCCTCTCTGCCTTACAGAAGAAATACCCTCTCCCCAAAATTCACAGTAAATATTCCTGATAACCCCCAGAGAAATATCAGGGAGAACTTGCCCACCTAAAACCATAAGCAAAGTTTATTGATTACTTTGTTCTTTCTCCACTATCCTGGTTCTTCTGCATTTTTGGCTGTGAGCCTTTACAACAATAATTACTATTATTATATTATTATCATCGCCATTATTATCATCGCCATTATTAACCTTTGCTGATTCAAACTAGAAGGGATTTTGAATCTTTACTCAGCTAAAAGTTTTACACGTTCCAGACCTACCCAATGTGTGCACATACACAGAGACACGTGATAAATAAAATCCCTTTATTTAATCAACCAAGTCTGTGCACACAGTTTTAAACCCAAGTGTTAAAAATTCTCTGTTTGGTTTGGAAACTGAGCTTGCAGGCTCAGACCACAGGTATTAAACACAGCCACAGCACAGGAGCAGAGAGAAGGGAAAAAAAAGAGGTGATGAAGACACAAAATCACCTCGAAACCCACTCTGGCCTGAAAATGAAGTAAATAAAACTGTTCCTTGCCCTGAAAACCACCAGCCACTTTTGTGCCTGCAGCTGAATGTCCAGTCAAAGCCACCTCTTGACCAGGTCAGATCAGAGCCTGGAGACCTGGTGCTGCCCAGCAAAATGACAGAGGTGCCAAAAGCTTTTTGAGTTTAACTCTTTATTGCCTCCAAAGCCCTGGGTGTAATTTTCTGTCTGCAGACTCAGGTAATTGCTGGACGTAACTCAAAAGAAACCCAGATCAAAAGTATTAATGGAGCCTCATAAAATTCTGTTTACCTGCCAGCCCGGTGTGACTCCTTGTTTTTTTGGCTATAGGAGTAAATCAGCAGTAATCTTTTCTTTATCGTCTCGGAAAATGTCTCTTGAAAAGGTTTTAAGTCAGGCTTGGTACAAGCAATCACTGATTTTGCAAAGCTGGTTTAGTAGCAATCATCTGTCCCTCAGAACAGCTCAGCCCCACAGCCGGGAGTGATGGATCAGAGGAGCACAGTGGATTTGCTGTAATGAATCATTCCACATAACAAATATACTGAGCAACAGCCTCCACATCCAAATGTCTTGTCTAACTTAGTTCTTGCTCCACTCTCGGGGCTGGAGTTGGCTGTGCTTTCATCCAGCTCTGTGTGCTGTGCTCACACTAATGCTCGTCCCCATCACGACCTGCTGGATGGAGCTCCACAGTTACAGGGCTTAGAACTGTCCCTGACACCCTGAACATCCTGGATATTCCATTTTTCCCTCTGCGCCCTCCTCCAAGGTTATGCACCTTTGGAATGACTGAAAAGTGCACAAGAAAGAGGATGAGATTGGGTAGGTCTGGTTAAAATGAGGCTCCTGTCATTGCTCAATAGATCCTTTCTGATTTCAGGCACTGAAGAAAGCAAAGGGTAGAGGTTGTGCCTGAAGGTGTTTCCTCCCTGGAAGTGTTCAAATCATCCCTGGAAGTGTTTGCAAGATGTGTGGGTGTGTCATTTGGGAATATGGTTTAGTGGTGAACACTAAATATTAATGATTGGACTCAAAGATCTTAGAAATCTTTTCCAATATTAATGACTCTATGATTCCACGAATGAAGAGACAAGTGGAATCCCAGTCATCCATCCTGGCAGCTACACACCCCACAAATAAGCTGGTGCCCCCTAAACAAGCAACTCATCCTAATTTCCTTTATCCTGGGAGTTGGGATGGGAGATCCAGTTCATCAGGACACAGAGTCCCTCCAGTCTGGGCAAAGCTTTGCCAAAGCACCTGAAACACCTTCTTGGCTGCTTCTTCATGCCTTACTGGCATTTTCAGCAGAGAAAACAAGGATCAAACAGCTTCTGAACCTCTCAACTCCCAGACCTGAGGCCAGACTGAGGAAGGTCCCCATGCTGAAGCTTTCCTGGGGATATTAGGAAATTCACTCCCCTAAGTGTAAATCTTACACCTTTTAAGCAGCACTGAACTCACTTTAATAAGGAAAGGAGTAAAATGATTTCTTATTTCACTGATAACCTGGACTCTGCCTGAAAATAAAAACCCCAAAAGGAAAATCCCAACACTAAACCTTCAAGCCCAACGTGTAAAGACTCAATCTGGCTAAATCAGTGAAGTCCCTCACGGTAATTAAAGGCACTAATTGATTTGTGAAAACATCTTTGGAATGGGAGCTGAACTGGGGGGGGATTTACAAGCCCTGCTCCTAATCCCCAGATACTCCAATCAGTCCAGTTTGACGGGGGAGCAGAGAGCTGTGAATGAGGGGAGACTGAGATTCCTTATTTTGTATCTTTTCAAGGCAATATCAGTGCATTTAGTGACCAATTTCTCCTTTCCTGAGGCCATTCCTGCAGGCTTCTGAGAGTGTTTGGGTATCACTTTGATGCCTTCCACACCCAGGGCAAATGGAAGGCACATTTGTGTGAACCCTCTGAATTCACCAAAGCAGCATCAGTGGGGTGAGGAGAAAAAGGGATCCCTAACGAGGAGGAAGCTGTTGGAGAGGGCAGGGAACAGGATTCCTTTTGTGTTTCATCTCAGGACAGAGCCCTGGGGCTTTCAGGTGTGATGGCCACACCTGCAATGCTTAGTCCTAAGGCATCAAATCCATGAAGGCTGAGGGAAATGTAGGAATTGCAAATCCATGAAGGCTGAGGGAAATGTAGGAATTGCAAACCCATGGAGGCTGAGGGAAATGTAGGAATTGCAAACCCATGGAGGCTGAGGGAAATGTAGGAATTGCAAACCCATGGAGGCTGAGGGAAATGTAGGAATTGCAAGTCCATGGATGCTGTGGGAAAAGTAGGAATTCTTGCTTTCAAACCCAAGGGAGATTCACTTCTCTAAGCCCAGTTATGATGTTTAAGCCTGGGTTTAAGGGATCAGTGACTGCTCCTGCTGCCATGCAAAGCTGTGGGTTCATCCCAAGGGGGCCTGAAACACAGACATGACAACAAGCACCAGGAATTGCAGCTTTTAGGGATACAACTGTGTAGCTTAACAAACCCCAGTAGTCTGTAAACTTCACTCAGGGAACATCCTGGTGCTGGAGATAGACCCTGAGCTGCAGAAAAGAGGGAGAAAACTTCAGCTCTAAGTTGGAGACCTGCTGCACCCATATGGAGTCTCCAAGGATTCTGCTGAGTATTAGCAGCTGGATTTTGGTGCATTAAACCAAGAAGTTTTGTTCTGATAGTGAAGGTAGGGTGCAGGATCATTTAGTTTGGACTATGCAGAGTTTGTTTTGACAAAAGACCCTTATCCTGCTCATCCCTCACTGGGACCTGTGGAAATTTTGCCCCAGGGTACCCACTGAGCAGCCAAGGTGTTACTACCACACACAGTGCACTGCTGGACTTCTTGTCTTCTCAGGAGGCAAAGTCACCAGCCCTCATTGTTTGGGCTCTGGGGAGCAGCTCTACACAAATTCTTAGTGAACAGAACTCTTGGAAAGCAGTTTTCTGCACCAAGGACCAATATTATCACGGCAGTGCTGCATTGGAAACCATGGGGGGTGGCAGGGGGTTCCCACGGGATGCTCACCTGAAGATGCTCCACTCAGGCTCGATCCTCAGGATGGTTGGATCCTCCACATATTCATAGTGCAGCTCCTGATGTATCTTGGCCTTGTCCACTCTCACAGACACCTTCACCTTCTCAAAGCCCTCATAGGAGGCAGTGGTGTTACAGACAATGTGCTTGGTGGATCTCCTGGGAGAAGAAGCAAGTAAATATAAACCAACAGCAAAACAAATGGTGTCAAAAAGAGCTCAACTACTCATTCTTGTGTCCTGTGACCTAAAGCTGTGCACTGTGAAGTGGTGAAAGTCACTGCTCCAGGAATATGGTGTGAACTGTTTATCTGAGGAAGTGACATTGTGTTGCTTTTTCACTAGTTTAAGTAAAACCACAAGAGCCATCATTTCTCAGGGCTCAGAGTGAAAACTGAACCCCAAGGGAAGTCCAAGCCAGGCCTGTCTACAGAAGTATTTGTCTGTGATTAAATATTTGATGGGGGTTTCCTTCCTGCCTGTGGACAGATGCAGCAGCAGCTCATAAAAGGGGTGTTTGCACCTCAGCCTTCCTGCCTGGGATCATAAAGTTTACTTTGCATTAGGACTGTAAGCCTTGTTTAAGTGCACTTTGCAGCATGCCTGGGACCTTTGGAAAGTGCTAATACAGTGGGGAGCATTTTATGATTATACTCAAAGAGGATTCTGCATAAACTTTTCCTTTTGGGCTGGGCTCAAAACCAGCTCCAGGTCTGAATTTTGCAGCCGACCTTTCCTTCCACAGTGAGCCAAAAATTCAGGCTCCAAACACCCTCAGTCTCCCCAGTCCTGTGATTTGTGACGCAGCCTCATCTTCCACTCCTAGAAAGGGGGTACAAGTCGCCTTCAGTGGCTGCACCTCCGTGTGCCCCCCAAATTCCCCTGAAAGACAATGTTCAATCCTTCCTAAAATTCTCCAGTCTCTTCAATAGGCATCTCTGAGTAGCTGTGGTTCCCACTTGGCATTTTAAATCACAAGCTGTGACTTCAGCCTCCCGAATTAGAGATGCTGAATCACACCAGAGTCATGACAGGCAGCTAAAGAGGATCCCCACAGCCAGGAGAGGGAAGGGCATTGCCCCAGGGCAGCGCTCCCAGGTCTCCTGTGAATGAGCCCTTGCTCTGCCAAGGACATATTGGGAGAAATGTGCCAACTTCATCTTCAGCCTCCACCGACACTGGCAGCAAAATGTGTGGCACTGGGTAGTTTTGAGCTGCAGGAGCCCCTGGGAATGTGATTCAGGCTCATTCTCACAGGGATCAGGGAACATTCAGCAGGTAACACTGACATTAAGCTTCTCTGAACTGCAGCTGAACAGGAGCCAACCCCGAACTAAAACATTGCAAATCATCCATTTCTTAGCACTACAGGACTATTCTGGGATAAAAGGGAGGTGGTTTAATGCTCAGAACTGATGTTGTCAGATTTTCTTTGTCACCTCTCCTAAAGCAGGGACACGAAAATGAATCTTTTAAACGACGTACTCCCGGCGCAAGTAGCAAAGCGCGGGACCGTGGAGAATTGTAGTGAGATTTGACAAGAGGCCACGGGAAAAAGCACATCAAATACCAATCAAAACAATGAAATAAATCCTATTCTCTCTCCCCAAAGCATGCTCAGTAAGGTTGTGCATGGTGCAGAATGCACAAGTCCCATTGCTGCACAGACACGGCCACGGGCAAAGGAGGCACTTGAGGGACAGGTTGCAGAAGCCCCTTGGCTGTAACTGCTCACATCTTTCACACCCAGGCAGGAACGGGAGCAAGGACTCATCTGTACCTGTAGAAGAGGCAGGGCTGTCTCCCAAAGGTCACGATGACGTTGCTGCCAGCGTTGAGGTTGTTGCCTGTGATTGTCACCTGGGTGCCACCCGACACTGGTCCCCGCTTGGGCTTGAGGTCAGAGAGAGTCAGAGTCTGTGAAGGCAAAGGGTGGTGTTGAAAAGACAGCAGAGGAGCAGAGGTACCTGGCCTCTCTTGTTTCAGTTAATCATGTGGCACATGATTTCAGAAGATGACCATGCCTTCTGGCCAATAGAGGACACCAGTCCTATCACAGACATCCCGTTTGAATGCCAGGTGGGGTGGGATGAGTTCACACCTTACCCCAGTCTGTTCTCCTCACCTCTGCAAAATCAGACCTGCCCTTGTATCCACTCAGAAATACTCTGCTTCCAAAGGCAGTTCCATGCCTGGAGCAGCTGGAGCCATGATCTCCCTTCTCCACTGCTTGTTTGACACAGCTTGGGTGTCTTTTTGCCGTCATGCAACACCAGCTCTGCGAGATAACTCGGGTCTTGAACTGCTTGATTGGATCTTAATGGGGAATGTCCACTTCCAAAATTTGGAGCTCACAAGGGGGGAAAATGGTTTGGTATTGAAAAGATCACTCAACCCTATTGATCTGAGAATCACAGAATCACAGAGTGGTTTGGGTTGGGTTGGAAGAGGCCTTAAAGATCATCCAGTTCTACCCCCTGCCATGGGCAGGGACACCTTCCACTAGCCCAGGTTGCTCCAAGCCCCATCCAACCTGGCCTTGGACACTTCCAGGGATCCAGGGGCAGCCACAGCTTCTCTGGGCAACCTGTGCCAGGGCATCACCATCCTCACAGCCAAGAATTCTTTCCCAATATCCCATCTAACCCTGCCCTCCTTCACTTTAAAGCCATTCCCCCTTGTTCTATCACTCCAGACTCCTTGTCCAAAGTCCCTCTCCAGCTCTCATGGAGCCCCTTTAGGTACTGGAAGGGGCTCTAAGGTCTCCCCAGAGCCTTCTCTTCTCCAGGTGAACACCCCCAAGGAGAGAACAGAACCTGCTATAGGGTTCCACAGAGATGTCTGTAACCTACCCCTGCACTCACAGGATTTTTCCCTGGGATGAAGGAGAGCTGTGCTTCAGCAGAGAATCTGAGCTTGTTTCTTGCTTCTCCCACACGCCCACACATGACCCCTGATCCTTCTCTTCTTCTTCTCAGATTTGGATGCTGAGACAGCCCAGTCCTACAGGAGTGTTGTGCACTGACACAGCATGGCCTTGCTCAGGTTGAGTGTCCCCTGAAATGCCACAGCCACAAAAACCAGCACTGCCCACATGAACACCCTTTTCTTTTCTCTGCTGCCTTTCAGAGCTTCTTTTCCAGGCACAACACAGTGCTGTGTTAATATATCAAAAAGGGCCACAATTCCTTTAGAGGCCCCAAATCTCAAACCTCTTTTTCTCACCCTCCTGCCCTCCCTTCTTCCCCGAATCAAGATAAAATACTTGCACTCTGAAGGCACAGATCACCCTGTTACCACAATGCAGAGAGGAGACATCAATTTTCAGGGAAAAATTTGGAGTTACAGTTTATTCTTTCATTTGCATTTTAATAGAAAAACTTTCCATTCAGTCCCAAGTGAAAAGCTACTATATGCATTTAAATGAAGATTATTTCTTTCCCCCTCTCTTTAAGAATGATGACACAAGTGCTTGAAGCTCTCAGCTCCTCTGAACGAGCAGGTACATCACGCAACCACCTTATTGAGCTCTGGAGACCATTAATCCATGTTTATAAAACCACCTGACACACACCACAGCTCCCACTTTCACACACACAGAGCCTTCTCTGTTCCTGTCCCACCCTGGTTAATCATTTTGAAAAACAGCGGCCAGATTTCCATTTTGCTCCTGTTTGAAATGCAGCTCTTGGAGGAAGGGCAGAACATGAAAATCAGACACACAGCTCTGTAGAAGGATCTGTTGTCAGAGCTGGGCACTTCTCCTGTTTAAACTCGAGGGTTTGGAAGCTGTTTTTATACTTAGAATCACAGAATTATTAAGGGTAAAAACGACCCCGAAGATCATCGAGTCCAAACGTCAAGCCAGCACTGCCAACCCCACCACTAAACCACATCTCTAGGCACCACATCCACGTGTTTCTTTAATGCTTCCATGGACAATGGTTCCACCACTTCCCTGGGCAGCCTTGACATCCCTTTCCATGAAGAAACTTTCCCTAATATCCAACTTAAGCCTCATCTGGAACGACAGGCTGGGAATGGCCAACTTGGTGCCCAAAGCCCACACAACAGCACTGCAATAGTATCTGATTCACAAACCACAGAGGAACACTTGAGTTAAAGACTCAAAATCCTTGTCCCACCCCTGGATGGGTTTCCTGCCCTCTCCTCAGAGGTGGATAAGCCAGCCAAGCCCTTTTGAGGATCCTCACCAGCAACACTCCTTGGCAAAGCGTTGCTGTGTCGCGGGCCAAGCTTACAAATGGTTTTGTGGCTGAGCTTTCAAAGTTGTGATAAACCATTAATTATTCACAGTGGCCTTCATAAATATTGCAAAGCGTGTTCACAGTACAGCTCAGCCTCCAGCCTATTCACCATTTCCTTGCTGGTGAAAGGTGATGAAGAATGCAAGCTTTGGCTCTCTAAAAGGCTGAAGTGGACAGTGACAATGAGGGAAATTGGAGAGGAAATCTGCACCTTTCTAGGATTTTGCCAACTTTCCTCAGCTCCCCAACCTCATGCTTTCCTCCAGCATCTCCTCCACACAGGCTGTCCACCATCAGAGCTGTGTCTGATGACCTCATGGTGCATGTCAAGACCTTGATTCCCATTTCATTCCTCCTGGGGACAAGGGTGGAGCAAGATGTGACTCACACAAGGGTTTCCTTCTTATAGATTCAACCACAGCAGCAAGAGAAAGATGGAAGAGATGCTCTCCTAGGACCAGGATTTAGGAGCAGACCCAGAAGAAATGCAATCAGAGTATCCCACATCACCTGCACTGAGACACAATATTCTCATCTAAACCCAGAATAAAGGTAAATTTGCGTCAGCACCTGAATTGAAAAGTGAAGATAATTTATTTTTTTTTTTAATGGAAAGACTGTGGCAATAATCACAGCAAGAAAATGAATAACTTTGAAAAAAAAAATTTCATTTAGATCATCATAAATTTAATTTCAGCTTTGTTTCCCTTTTGGCTTATTGTAGTCTCTAATGCAATGTGCAGTCTTCGATCACAGACAAATTTAAAACAAACCAACAGCCTTTTGAATTTAAAAGTTCTCATTAGAAATGTGGAGAAGAACTGTTGTGGCACCACTAAACGAAGGTGCCTCTTTGTTAAAACACTGAAATTAAATACTCTGATGAGCTCAAAACACGATGTCTTCCAATTCTTACAGGAGAGGGGGAGGCTTATTGGCCAAATTTGGGCAAGTTTTGCCTCAAACCTTTTGAAAAGCAATTTTCCAGAGGATTTACTGTGAGTCAGAAAGCCACATTTATCTCCCTTCCTTACTTTTCAAACATCTTCCTTCCCTTCAAGCTGCCAAGGATGCCAAGGCACGTTGAGATGCATCCGCATCTCTGCCCTCCTGGCAGGAGCATCCAAGGAAGCCAAAAAACACAGCTCCTGATGTGAAAACACCGGACACAGGAGAGGGAATATGATGGGCAGGTTGGAGACCCTCTGTTTTTTGGGGGATTTTTCTTGGTCTGACACAAAGCTACCGAGGTGTTGAGCAGTGAAAGCCTTGCTGACTCCGAGCTCCTGCACGGCTGGGAATGCTGGCAGTGGAAAAGCTGTCACAGATGGACACGGATGATCAAAACCAGACAGTAATTCCAAGAGTGGCAAAGGTGACATGTTGAAGTGTAATGTCCTGGAAAGAGCCCTTCTGTCTGCCTGGCAGGGGCTTTGTCCCGTGGTGTTTCTCCACCCCACCCCGGTAACACCTGAGTGACATCGGAAAACGCGGAGAACGGAGAAATGCCCATGGCTCGAGGGGGAAACCTGAGACATTTGCATTCATTACAAGTCCCTTTACCATCAAAAAAAATGCTCAGGCATGTGAATAATTACAGAAAAGTCCCATTCCCTTGCAGGAGTCGAGAGCTTTTGATGGGAACAAAGAGACCCTCTCATGTCAAGCCCGCACAGATCTGCACAGATCAAGGCCAGGCAACGCTTGCATGTCCCCAGCAAGGGGCCTTAGAGGAATAATCAGGTCTCTTGGACAAGGAACATCATCAGAAAGGAGAAAAAAAAACCCAAGTCAAGTGTACAACATGTGTTTGTGCTTGAACTGAAGTCTGAGCTTGCAGGTGTCCACTGTTTCATCGTGGAGCATCCAAAACAGTTGCCCACTTGCACTGAGCCCCAGTCACATCCTACAGCTCCCCAGCAGCCTAATCTGGACGTGTCCTGATCCCAGGGTTGCTGGGATGGATGGGATGAAGAAACCCCTGGGGGAATCCAAGAGTGAGGAGGAAGAAACCCCACCATGAACATCACACTCCTGCTGAAGACTCAGAAGTAATGACTAGTGGCAACCCCCAAGTTTCTTCTGGAGGACACTGGTTTTTTTCCATTTTCTTCTTTTTTTCCTCCTTCTTTTTTCCCCCCTTTGTTCTTTCCTGTACAGCATTTTTAACTATTAATGAGAATTTTCTGTACTAATTTGGACTGTGGCCGTATGGAACTGTAACTGGACTAATAATCTGGACTATTATTAGACTGTTAAAACTTTAATTAGACAAGCTATTTTTTGCTCAGAACAAGATGTCGAAAGGAAATGGAATGAACAATTTGGTGCACTCAGAACTGCAGTGAAGAGCTCAGAGGTTCAGTATGATCAAGGACAATGGGTAGATGCAGCAAAGGGGACCAAGGCCTGAGGACCTTCAGGACCAAGGAGAACTTCTTGCAGGAACTTACCATGAAGTAATAGAGCTGTGAAGATCTGGCCATGAACTCTGGTTTGCACTCAGCCACACAGATTTCCACAAATCCAGCATGCTGGCTGGGCTTGGCCTCCCCCATCTCACACACTATCCTGTGGAGAAAACACAAACCAGAAGCAAAGTTTGAGGGGTGGTTCGATGGTGTGGGTAAGATGGAATTGGAAAAAATGAGCCCAGAGTGCTGAGGAATGGACTGTAGACTTAACCCATCCTGTCTAATCCAGAATCCAGACTGTGGACTAGGTTGTGCTTTAGAAAGTGGTGGCCTTTGGCTGTTGGTACTTGGTGAGACACACGCTTTGGTGGTGTAAATCTATATAGTTTCACTCAAATATACTGAGAAATTCTAGGCTGGGGTTTGACCCTGTGAGTCCCTCTGTCCTCCAGCTGTGCATGGTGGAGGCAGCTGTAAGGTTTAATGATCACTCCTGCTCAGAGTGATCTCAGGATTGCTGCCGCCCAAACTGGAACTAAACACCCCTGTGGTGTCTGCTTTGTGAAAAACAGAGGGTAACTTCATGGCATAAGTCATGAGAATCATCTAAACATGCAATCCAAATACAGTAATAAATGGATTATCAGCTCCTGAGCTGCACGTGGGGAACGGCAGCTTCCACTCCTCAACTCCCAAGCTGAGTGGAATGGACTCCTTGGAAGGTCCTGCAGGGATGACTGTCATTAGGTGTGCAGTGGCCCACTGTCTGCCACACACCCCACTTACTGCTCTGCAGGGATGTACCCTTCCACCAGAGGTTTGCACTCCACGCCGGCCACTTTGACGTGGGACGCGATGTCCCGGAACTCCAGCCCCAGGTTCTCCCCACGGATCGTCACCTTGGTCCCTCCCTCGCGAGGGCCCGTCACTGGGTTGATCTGTGAGCAAGCCAACAAGGAGAATAATCAAACCACTTCTGTAAGTCACAGAATCACAGAAGCAAAGAAAAGAGCAGTGAGATCATCAAGTCCAACCTGTGACCCAACACCACCCTGTCACCCAGCCCATGGCACTGGTGCCACATCCAGCCTGTCCTTAAACACCTCCAGGGACGGGGACTCCAGCCCCTCCCTGGGCAGCCCATTCCAATGCTTGATCACTCCCTCTGTGAAGAATTTGTTACTGGTGCCCATCCTAAACCTCCCCTGGTGCAGCTCAAGGCTGTGCCCTCTTGTCCTACTGCTGGTTCCCTGAAGCAGAGCCTGACCCCCCCGGCTGTCTCCTGGCAGGGAGTTGCAGGAGGTCTCCCCTGAGCCTCCTCCTCTCCAGGCTGAGCCCCCCCAGCTCCCTCAGCCTCTCCTCCCAGCACTTGTGCTCCAGTCCCTTCCCCAGCCTGGCTGCTCTTCTCTGCCCCTGCTCCAGCCCCTCCAGGGCCTTCCTGAGCTCAGGGCCCAGAGCTGGACACAGCACTCCAGGGGTGGCCTCCCCAGCGCCCAGCCCAGGGGCACAAGCCCTGCCCTGCTCCTGCTGCCACACTCTTCCTCAGCCAGCCCAGCAGCCTCTTGGCCAGCTGGGCACACCTGGCTCCTCTTCAGCTTCCTGTCAATCAGAACCCCCAGGTCCCAGAATCCTCTCAGGTGAAAGAAGAGCCAATATCAGGTCTTTTTGTGACCACTAGAGACACTCATAAACACTGCACAACTGAGGGAACAAACCTACTCCGAATGCCTCACTCAGTCCAGACCCCCTGCAAATATATATCCCACATCCCCCAGCCTCAGAGTATACAAAATTCTGCTCCACATCCCATTTCCTCCCTTTTAACTACTTGCAAAACATCCAGAGATGAGCAGAAGATGTTTTCTAGGTAGGAGAAGTGATTTCTGGTGGTGCAGCTGAGCTCTGTACTTTATAGACATGAGCCATGGAAAGGCAGGGGAGGGGCATGATGGAAAGAAATGGGATAAAGGACGTGGAAAGGACATAAGTGACTTCGGCCAGTCACTTTAAATCCTAAATTCCCAGTCCAAAGGACATGGAGTTTTTGATGTGTTCTGGAGAACAGGTCATACATCACAAACTCCACTGAAAACATCCACCTGTAAAACCAGCCAAGACAGAACAGGAACAGGGTGTCAGATTAGGTGTGGAGAGGGTGAGTGGGGACTGAGACAGCAACAGCAATTAGACTGTGCCAACACCTATTTCTGAAAGAGTTCCAGCTTCCCTTGGGGGAATATTTTCCCTCAGGGTGCCATTGGAAGGGCAGGAATGGGAGTATGGACAGATTATTTGTGGAGTGGGAGGCTTCTGATCCCCAACATGAGATAAGCAACTATCCCAACCATCCTGGCTCAGAATGATGTTTGCACCCCAGCTGGCCCTCACCAGCCCCTAGCAGGGTTGGGATCACTGTGTCTTTCTCCATCACCCTTGTCCAGAGCCAGGTGGAATCAGCACAGGAGATGCCTCCTTGATGCTGGAACAGCACTGAAATCCTGGGGCTGGCCCATAATTATCTCCATTGTGCCCTTCCAATTATTCCCTGTGCCCAAAAGCTCTGCCATGCAACTGGTTACTTGAAAGGGGTTCAAACACTGCTTTGAAAGGGTATTCCCTGCTGCCCGTTCAGGATGCCATGGATGCCATCTGCCAGCCTTGGCAAGGCTCTCTCTGCAGTGAGGGAAGGGGAATTCCCTGTCTGAGGTCTGAGGTCCTCCCCACTCTGCCAAGTGGGAATCTGGGCTGGCAGCTACGCCTTTCCCTAGCAGTTGGACTGGCAGGGAAAGTCGAGGCATTGGGATAAACTGCTCTTCCTCACTTCCCAGCACTGAGTCTGGCACCAGGATCAGTGTAATTCCCATCCAAAGGCCAATTTTTAGAAGGTCCACCTTTAATAAAAAGAGAGACAATCTGGCACCTTTAGGGGATATTTTATTTCGGGATAATTTATTTTAGGATATTATATTTTAGGATATTAATTTTAGGTGCCATGAACCACCTCCTCGATGAGGGTGGCTTTGCTCTGACTTCACAGGGAACCAATAGAGGTTATTAAATTAATAGCACAGATGATCACAGAGCAGTTCTTGGACCCAGAGGGTTGTGTGGCATAGTCACAACCTCTACAGCACAAGATCCCTGCAGCAGTCCCATCTCAGGTCCAAAAAACAGGCAAATGAACCAACAAAACCAGAGCCCTCAGAGGTTTATTCCTACTCCAAAAGTCAACAAGATACTGAAACCTTAAAAAGAAAATAAATAGCACAACATTCATAAACCTGACAGGTGAAAGGATTATTTGGTTTGGCTGGAGATCTGAACTTTGGGTGGTTTGTGGTGATGAGATTGATAGACAAGGAGAAAATAGATTAAAAAAGAAAGAAAGGAAGAAAGGAAGGAGAGGAAAAAAGGAAAAGAAGGAAGGAAAAGAAAGGAAGGAAAGGAAGGAAAGGAATGAAGGAAAGGAAGGAGGAAAAGAGAAAGAAGGAAAGAAGGAAAGAAAGAAGAAAGAAAGAAGGAAGGAAGGAAAGAAAGAAGGAAGGAAAGAAAGAAAGAAAAAAGAAAGAAAAAAGAAAGAAAGAGAGAGAAAGAAAATAAGGAAGGAAGGAAAAAGATTTTGTGGTTATTTTCCAGGAAAAGAGGAAGGTTTCCTAAAAGATGAGAATGAAAATAAAATTTCTATTCCAGGAGAAACCAGTATTGATTGTCTCAGCTGGGGAATCAACACTGAAAACCTTTAAAAAATGGCATTTCCAAAATATTTTTATGCTGAATAATTAATAAATATCTATTCAAGCAAAGTTTTTCTATTTAAAAGATTTATTTTGCTGATGTCAGTTAATCCCCTCCTGATAAAACACTATATCAATGATGCCAGAAGGCTGGAATATATCACCATATCAAATGCACTCTCACATGTTCTGAAAATTAAAAAAAGAAAGAAAAACTAAAATTCTTATGGTTTATTTTGTTTCCTATGTACTACATGTATTTTTTAAGAGAACTGAGTTCCCCATGGAATATTTTGGTCCTGTTTGTGGTGTTAAACTTGCCATCAAATGGTTTTTATTTGTTCTGGTAAGGTGGCTGTCAGGTAGGGGAGGTGTGTGGTTAATTAGGGCTCACCTATGTTTTGAAGAGCTCAAAAGAAGATTTTTTTTCTCATATGAGTCATGTCTTTACCCTGAATAAAGCAGGTGCAGTGGTGAAAAAGAAGATCTTGCTAGAAAAGCCCTTTTCTTTAGAACTAGGGGTGAGTTGAGACCAAATTTTCCCTGCAGAAGTCACCAAAAAAAACAAACAACCCTCATTGGAAATACCATCCTCCTTCCAGCTCGGTCTAAAGCCTGAGGTTTTAAAAAATTCTTGCCATGACTCAAAAAATCATCAACAGGAAAATTCCCAGAGTGAAGCCAACAGAGCAACTCTGAACCCTCCCCGTGCAATACTTAATTGGTGAAGGCCAGCTACAAAAATCACTCATTTCCTTAAAACAGGAGGGCCTGGGATTCTCCCGGGAGCACATGGGAGATGGTTTAACCCCATTTCATTGCACTCCCGTAGGTTCACACAAGAAGGTGTTGCCAGGCTGTTTTCACAGGGGGAGGGAAGGAGCCTGTTCCTACCACAGGTGCAAAAACACAGAATGAGACCTGTCAGTTTTGGGGGAGGAAAACACAGGCAGGGAGACAAAACTGCCAGGAAGCCTCAGCTTTTTCTCCAAGACCCCAGAGCTGCACCACAATTTACACCCCGTGCTCCTGCTTGTCACTCTTAAAGGGGGTTTTATGGCTCAGTAAGTCCTTTAATTTCCCTGAGTGGCTCCATAAATGCAGGAGCTGGTACAGAAGTGCAGGTTTTGGGGAGCTCTGTGTTCAGAGAGGGGGTGTTTGTGGCCATACAAGTGTGAGTTCCTCCTCCTTCCCTGCGCAGATCCAGCCCTGGCTCCTCTCCAGACTTGTGGATGCTCCCCCCCCAGCTCCAGGCCTACCATTAGCTGCAATATATATCCAGTCACTTGAGATTACTTCCATGCTAATGGCTCAGGAAAAGGCTTTCCAAGAGCTCCTTATGGTTGCACCAGACAGCTGGAATGTTTCGGGAGCGAGGGTTGCAATGATCCGCTCGAGCTCTGGGAGCTGCTGGAGGAAATGCCAGCAGAATTAGAAGGAGGAGCTGTAGGGTGGAGGATGAGGGGTTTTCCCTCTTCAAAAAGAAGCTGTAGATGTAGGGTTGGGGACAAAATACAGCAGAGAAATGTGGGTGGACTCCAGAACATCCTAACACTGCATGGCCTTGTGATTTGGACTTCTGCTTTAGCTGACCATCCCCATACCAAATTCTGTGAATGTTTCACAAGGTCTGAGAATCTTAAAGTATTTAGAAAAAGATTTCTCCCAGCTCCCAATAATTTTCAAGGCCTCAAAGTTGGGTATTCAGATAAAATTCTCCATTCTGGCTGGCTGGGCTTGGTTTCACAGCTTCGGGTGGTTCAGGTGGGCTCAAAATTACCAGTCTCAGAAAAATCCAAATGTGTGGAGACTTTCACCTTGGAAACACTGGAATAAGCCACAAACATCAGAATAACTTAAAATCAAACAGTTCAGCTGAGTGAGTACTTTAGAACTGATGAATGACAGGAAGATGTATTGAAACACAGTAAGAGAAGTTCTTTTCAGTGGCATCTGGGAAAAACAGATTCAACCCAACCTTTGCTTTCTCAAAATGTTCCAGCATGGACGTCGGTTTAAAGCTTGTCCATAACACCCACACTTTTTGATTCTTAACCAAGTACAACTTAAAAAAGCCTTTCTTGCTTTCTAAGAAAATAACCCACCTAATTATTCATACCAAACCACCACAGTGGAGGCTGGATTTTCCTCCTTTGCATTTCCCCTTGTCTTGTCTGTCTCATTTTCCTCCCGATTCTTCTAATTTGCAAAATAAGGCCCTGGCCACATTGAAAGGGTGACTGAGAGATGCTTAAGGCAGGAGGCAGTTGGAAAGGATAGGGCCCTCATTTTCAAGGCTCAGGTCCTTCTGCCTGCCCTGTGACCCTGAAATGGTGCCTGTCATTATGGCAAAGGCATTCCTAAGAAAAAAGTCCCTTTAGGCTTCAGGCCTGATTTGCCTCCCTTGCCTTCTCACCCTTCCTCTGCTCTCCCTCTCTGGTCTTTCTATCATTTTATGTCCTCTTTGAACCTTTTCCCCATCTCTTCCTTTGGTCCACTCAATAGGAAACCTTGTAAAGAACAACGTTATCCTGCAGGTCCTTCCCCCCAGCCTTTCCCTCATTCTCTCTTTATCACTTAATAGGACAGTTCCCAACTTTTCTTGATCCAGGATTGTTCCTGCCTCCTCCTTGAGCCTTCCAAGGGGAAACCTGACAACTGTACAAGGCTTTGTTTGCTTTATGGGGGCTTTTTTACCCCTCAACACCAGCCAGGCAAACAAATGGGCTTTAATTTGCTGGAGTCAGTGGAGTCTTGTTTTTTCCTGGACATGGACTCTGTCCATGTCATGCTGCCAGGAAACATAAACTACAACCATCTCCCTTCCTTGACCTCCTGTCAGCAAAGCTCAAACCACTCTGAGATCACTCAACATCTCACATCTCAGCCAGAGAGGCTGTTTCAAGAGACACTTGGGCTCCTTTGATTTACCCTCACACCGACCATTTGAGATGCCCCAGAGCATCTTGTCTCACCTTCAGCTGTTCCTCTGGAAGGCTAAGTTCTCCTAAAGGCTTGCTGTCACATCTACCAGCCCTGCATGGGCAGGTCAGATGCTCTGGGTTCCTCAGCTTGCACCAGCAGACTGTGTTTGTGCAAATGAATCACATCCACATGGACTATGGCATGGGAATTCTGACACCCTGGCTTGTAAATACCTGGAGTTGTGTGCCTGCCTTTGAAGGTCACCATGGACTCCCATCCCCAAGCCTGGCACAGCAGGACTCAGCCCTTCCCTTCCCATCACCAAGCCAAGCCCGAATCATGAAAAATCGACCAAGGAAAGGGTACAAGAGAGAATACCCCATCTTCTTGCAGATCCATGACTTACATCCGTGATCTTGGGGTTGGTGCACTTGCCCTTGGTGCTGGACAACTCCAGCCACTGGCTGTCCTGGGCTGGGCAGTGCTGCTTCAGCGTGCACTGGTTCTGTCCCTGGCACCAGCCACACTCGAAGTCGGGGTCGGCTTTCAGGCAGAGTCCACAGCTGTCCCTCATGGCCCCACACTTGTACAGGTGAACTGCAGGGACAGGAAAACACAGAGGGCCTGAGGGATGCAGAAAGCACGGGAGAGCGGTGGGATGGCAGAGGGAAGGATGAAGGGTGAGAGACGAAGGAAGGTTGTTCCAGGCTGCTCGTCCCAGAGTCAGGACGGGAACTCTCCAAGGGGGTGAGCAATGGGGCAATAAATGTGCACATCCTTCTCAAAATAAGCTGCACTTGTTAGAGTTCACCCCCCAGGAAAGGTATTTATGGAAGCTGAGAGCAGAAGGAAGTCGAAGTATGGAGAGGTTTGGAGGAACTGTGCTTGGGCAGTGACTTGGCCTCTGTCCCTTCCTTTTTCAGAGACTGAAAGCCATAAAGTGCCACCTATAACCAGCCTCAGCCTCAGCACTTCATCCTAAAATGATTTTCTAGACCAGGTCAACCCAGAGCTTAAACTTGGGGATTTGTCCAGGGTGAAACTACCCAGAACTGCATGTTGAGTTGATGCCACTCAGGTTTCTTACTTAATAGAAATAATATTAAATTAAGTACATATTATATACTATATATTAATATACAGTATAAATACAAACATATTATTTGTTAATATATAAATAATATAATATATAAATATATATAAAATAATGTAATATAAAATATAATATTTAAATAAATGTAAATATATAGTAAAAATACTTAATAGTAAATACACAATGGTTCACTCTGAGGCTGAATCCAGGAATTCACAATCAGCCTTTCCCCCTTCTCCTGCTCCAGAAATTGAGTCTGCCTTACATTTTGAAGCTCTGAGTTGATCCCCCTCTAATACAAGACAATGATTAATGCTTAGCTCCAGTTTGGGCTGTTAAGTGATTAGAAGCACTCAGAGCTTCTTCAAATAAAGCCTAAAAATGTTGCAGCCCTCCTACGAAACAAGATCATGTTATTTATCCTTATTTTGCAGCTGTGTAAGCTGAGGCCTGGCTCACACAGGGGACTGATAATTGTCCTCCCAGAAGATGATGATGATACAACCAAGACTCTCAGACTTGGCTTTTTTTTTTCTGTATTTGTGGGCATGTTGGGGGATTTCTTTAGGAAATGGGGGATTTTCCCCTCTGTGCTTCTGTTTTGCTGGGGCTGTAGGTGACTGAAGTCTTGTCTGTGGTTATCACTACACACAATCCCAAAGCTCAAAGGCTCTGGATACATGTCCTGAAAAGCTCTGTCTCTTCACACCTGCACCCAAGAAGTCAGCAAGTATTGGCCAGTGCAAGGAAAAGCTCAGAAACTCATTATTTCTGTAGTCTGAGTGCAAGAAGGGTACCCCAAAAAGTACCCCAAAGAAAAGCTTGCAAAGCATCTGTCACTCACAGTGTGCCACAGACCGCAAGGATGCCCCTTTTTCCTTAATGTTCTCTTAGATTTCCTCAAATTTGCTGAGTTGTTCTGCTTGAGATGCCCCCAGTGAGCATCTCTGCAGGCAGTTTGGATCAGGTTTGGGGTCTCAGCCTGCCAGCCCAGCCTGTGGGATGCTGGATGTGAAAGGAGTGGCATCTTGGTGACCTGAAGGCAGCTCTCTGTGTCCTTAAGAGCACGTGCTAAGCCTACATGTGGTACATCCATGGGCACAAGCCTAAGCTCTCCTCCTGATCCAAAACATGATGACATCATGTTTTTGGGATAGTCACCAGCCAGTGACACTTCCTAGATTTTTCCTAGTCACTACTTACAACCTTTTGGCTTTGAATAACCCAGGAACTTGTAAGTTCTTGGGTAGGTTCTTGTGCCAAGGACTTAACACCACAAGATGTTTCTTGGCTTCATCTTCTGGTCTGGTTTATGTTCCCAGCACCCAAAGACACAATCATCATGATTATCAGCTTGATTTTAATCCTACATCACCTTGGACAGTTCAGGACTAACCCAAAAAAAAGGGTTCACACTCTTGGTGTGGCCCATGTTGTGTCCGGAGTGTTCAGTTTATAATGGGAGCAGAAAACTAAGCAGGACTGGGGCAAGTGCCCAAATTCTGACCTCGAACCCACATTTCTGAAGGTTCTCACAGTCCATGGCACTGTTTGGGTCCATGGAAATTAGCAGTGTCCTGGCAATGCCTTGGCACAGCTTGGAGAGCAGGAGACAACTTCAGCATGGAGGGAGAGCAGCAGTTTCAACATGTTACTGGATGCCAAAGCTGGGCAAGGGTCTCCAGCCTGTTGTGTTTAATGAGTGGATTCAACCCTTTAACAAGTTTGGGGGGGAGAGTGCAGGACCTTCAGCATCCAGACTGGTGATTTGAATCCAGTGGCTGTTGGAGAAAGACATCAGAGAGGTGGGAGCAGGTGGAGAAGGACAGGAAGGGGTCAAGCCGTGGGAAGAAGAGTTGAATTGTGTACTGCTCTCCAGTTTCCATATGGTGTTGGTGGGAACCTCACCCATCACCCCTCAGCATGAGGGTGGGTGTGAAATGGTGTGAGAGTAGTGTGGGAGTGCCTGATGGGGAGGGATGGAGTGGGAGAAGACGTGGAAAGTGTCCAGGAGAAGGTAAAGAGAGAGAGGGAGAAACTTCTGAGAGGTGGTGATGTGAGAAGGAGAGAATCTGCAGGTCTGAGCTGCAAATGCAGAGCAGCCAAGAGGAGGGGTTGCCTGGGGAAAAGATTTCAGGGTGGATGGACAAGAAGGAAGAAGAAGAAGACGTGGATGGACCATCCATTCCAGCAAAAACCCCTTGCTGGATGTGCAGGGTCCCTCTGTGATGGGCACATCAATCCTGTGCCATCAGAGGTGGTTGAACAGAGCCAGGCTCTGGGCAGGAGGTGCTTTTCAGACCTCTTCTCATTCTCATTTTATTTTGTTCAGAATGTTCCCACTGGTGAGCTGCAGCCTTTGTGCCCCCCCTCTCCCTTCCCCTGTTCATTGCTAGAGCCTGGTCTCCTGGCATGTTCACTGGAAGAGCATCCCTGCAGGAGCAATAAAGAGGGGGAGAAACTTGGAGAAGGAGGGGCATGAAAACCAGACACAAAAAAAAAAAACCGCGGGGAGAAACGGGAGGCGAAGACGACGAAGGGAGAGGGAAAGCAACACAAGTGGGAGGGAGAGTCGCATTTCCCAGGTGGAATGAGAGAACTGGAGGGCTGGGGGGGGGGGCGAGGAGGACACAAAGCACAAAAAAATTGGTGATTTGCAGAGTGTGGAGAACAAGTGTGTCTGTACCAGACAGCACAGGGAGATGGTGGCGGCTTTGTTAAGTGTAGGGGAGCGCTGCTGCCCGTTGCTAAGGTTACCACTTCCAAGGACAAGTTGAAATAACTCCTTACCTTTGTTCTGTGCCGGGTTGTCAATGTTGAAATTCCCGTTCCACACGACAGTCAGCTCCACTGGCAGGCTGTTAATCTCCATCCCTTCGTAGGAATACTGGAAGTGGGAGAGGAAAAACGAAAGAAAACCCCCAAACACAGACTTACAAAGTGCCATGGGGTGGGGAGGGGATGGAACAAGGCAAGAGGTGCTGCTGCATGTTGTGAACAAGAGAAGTGGAGCTGTCAGACACCTTCCTAGTCACCATCACCTTCCACAATGCTATGGGATGCTCTCAAAGCTGTGGATCTCAAACCATGCCCCTCTCAACAGCCCTTTCAGCCATTAGGGGAATATTCACAGAATCACAGAATTACAGGTGTGGGTTGGAAGGGACCTTAACAATCATCCAGTTCCACCTCCTGCCATGGGCAGGGACAACTTCTACTATCCCAGGTTGCTCCATGCCCCATCCAACCTGGCCTTGGACACTTCCAAGGATCCAGGGGCAGCCACAGCTTCTTTGGGCAACCTGTGTCAGGACCTCCCCACCCTCACAGAAGAATCTCTTCCTAATATCCAATCTCTTCCTAATATCCAATCTAACCCTGTCTTCCTTCCACTTAAAGCCATTCCCCCACATGTGACAACTTGGAAATCAACCTTCCAGGTGCTGAGAACAGCTCTGGAATATATTTTGCCAACTCTTGGATGCATTTTAAGGTGTAAACAACACATTTTGGGTCTGTCATCCAACTCTACCTGTGCTATGTAACCCACAGGGGCTGAGCACATATATGGGGATACCTACACTAGTGGTGTTTTGAAGGACTCTTGGAAGCTGAGTGAGGTCTCAGAAGTCAGGGAACGGGCACATCATGGAAAAAAAAGGGGAAAATGGAGGTTCTGTGTAATTATAGACCTGTCAGCCTAACTTGGCTTCCCTGAATGAAAGTACATCAAATTATTAAACAATCAATTTATAAGCACCTGCGAGATGATAAGGTGATAAAAATCAGCCAGCATAGATTTGTCAAGAACAAATTGTGTCAACCCAATCTAATTTCCTTTTTGACAGGCTTAATGACTTTGTGGATAAAGGGAAAGCAGCAGATGTCATTTATCTTGATTTCAGTAGAGTATTTGCTACTGCCCTACAGGAGATTCCCATAAACAAAGCAGGGAAATATGAACTAAAAGAAGGCACCATAAGATTTATGCAAAAACTGTCAAAAAAAAAAAAAAAGAAGTCAGATAATTCCATGGCAGACTGGGAGGATGTTTCAAAAGGAATTCTGTCCTGGGTCTGGCATTTCTCAGTATTTTCACTACTGACTTGGATGATAGGCTGCAGATTTCATGAATGACACTGTTCTGGGAGAGGGTGCAGGGTTAAGAATTCAAAACAAACTTGGCAAATGGGAGAAAAACGGGCCAAAATCAACCACCTGAAATTCAAAGCAGGAAAACAGGGTCTATTTTGCAGCAGGAGAAATCAATGCAAACAACTATGAAATTGGAGTGACTGGCCAGTGCTGCAGGACAGAGTGGGGACTGCTGAGGATCATAAACAGACTGAATCAGCAATGCCATATTGCTGCCAAAACCCAAGCAATTCTCACTTGGGGATGGACCAAATAGAGTTTGTCACATATGTAAACCCCAGGATGCAAACATTTTTCCCTGCTCAAAACCAGAAAGGTTTCAGCTGGAGTGAAGAGTATCCAGTTTCCAGCAAATGCATCTTAAAAAAAAGCCATAGAAAACTTCAGAGAGAGTTGGGCAGATTTAAACAAACACTTGTCAAGGACAGTCAAGGTTCACAGAGGTGGCCTGAAGGAAGGAAAGGGAAGCTGGTCTCTGGAGGCCCTCTCCACTTGGAGAACTCTCTGACAGCGCTTTTTTTTTCCAGCTAAATTTTAATTTATCTTCAGCCAGTTCACACAGGGTTCACTCAGTTGCCCCTCAGATCCCACTGCCAACCTCCATCAACAGCCTCCATCCCACACTCCACCAAAAGGCAAAAAGCCTCATAAAGGGAGAGGAGATGGCTGATTAAAGGGCAGAACGGGAACAAAGCAAGAAGGGGAGAAACATTCCATGCCTGCTACTGTTACTGAAGGATTTACCCTCCTCAGACCAGGAATCTCCCTCTGCACTGAGATCTATGGTGGGACAAACCCCCACTTTAAAAGAAAAAGATGTTTTCCCCACTAAAAGATTAAATATAACTCAGCCAGGTGTCTGCTTTGGTTGGGCACATCTTAGAGAGCAGTAAAGAGTTCCCTACATCCTAAAGGCTCAATGTGATTTTCCACAGAGATGCCAAAGCTCTGAGCCTTTACAGGAAGTTTTTCCTGTATCTCTTAATTGCCATATAATTGGGAGTAAATCATAGATGGTGATTTCTGTCCATTACAGTAGAGTGAGAGCTGGTTTCACAGTAATTCCTCTTTGGACAAACTAAACACAATTAGCCATTAATCTGCAAAAGCCTGTGATTATGATCTAGTTGTGGGGTATTTATGGGTATAAGCTTTGTGGTTTCCATGGAAGTAAAGAGCAGCCACAGGTTACCCTTTGCAACAGGGCTGTTCCCTCCAGTCTCATTCAGTATTTACATTTTTATGACACTTTTTGGTGTCACTGCCAGCGAGATGCAAGATGATGCAGAGCTGCTTGGACTCACACCACTGGCTGTTCACAGCTTTTCTGAGCTTGGGATGAGGATGGGGAGACAGGAGTGGGAAGGAGAGTGCCTGAGAAGCAGTGAATAATTAATCTGGTGCCGCTCAGCAATGCCTGCTCTGCACAGTACTTTGAAAATGCTGGTTGGGAACGGGAAAGGGGGTATACAGAACTCCTGGTCACCCTAAAATCAGATGAGTCTTAGGAAGTGCTACATTCTGCCTCACCCAGAGCCTCATGTGTCTTTTGGGATTTACAGAATCATGGAATATGCTGGGTTGGAAGGGACCCCCAAGGATCTTGAGTCCAGCCCTCAGCCCTGCACAGGACCATCCCCAAGAGTCACACCATGGGCCTGAGAGGATCATCCTAACATTCCTTGAGCTCTGTCAGCCTTGGTGCTGTGCCCAATGCCATGGGGAGCCTGTTTAGTGCCCAACCACCCTCTGAGGGAAGTTCTTTTATTTAATATCCAACCTAAACCTTCCTTGACAGAACTTCAGGCCATTCCCTGGGGTCCTGTCACTGGTCCCCACAGAGATCAGTGCCTGCCCCTCCTCTGCTCCTCATGAGAAAGCAAAGACCAGGCATGGCTGCCAAGGGACAGGCAGCTGGAGTGCCCCAGAGCCTTTCATCCCAGGGAGGATCCCAGTGCCAGCAGCAGGAGCCCAGCTGGGAATTCAGATCTTATCTCACCTGCAGCACCAGCAGCAAACACATATTAAGCTTTTTGACTCCGTAGGTTTGATCCAGAACTGGAAATGGATACGAGGGAATAAGCAAGGGGATCCCCGTGGAATTTCCCCAAGGATGAAGCCAGGAATGAGGATGCTCACACTGCCACGATCTGATCAGATGGTTTTTGGGCTTCACGGCAGCGAAACGGAGCGATTTGCAAAGTACCAGCGAGCAAACGCTCCGTCCTCTGCAGACCACAGGAGCTGCTCACTCATTGTGACCCCTCTTCAAAGCCCGCTGAACTCAACAGGAGTCTTTGAAAAGGACTCACTCAGCTGTGACAATAAGATGGAAATGTGTTCCAGGGAAGAAAAAAGGGATGGTGCATCGATCTCCGGGACAGTGGAGCTTCCCAGGTACTCCTGCTGGGAGTGTTCGCACCATCAGGGCTTGGCTGGACACCTTCCATGCCTCCAACACAGCAAAACTGCTCAGAACGTGTAAATCTGACCCCTAAACCTGCCAAATCTGGATCACAGTCATGAAAATCAAATCAAAGCACAAAATTATGGGCAGTTCAGAGGGCCAAACTGAGAATGCCAAAACTCTTCTAGAAGGAGCTGTTGTAATTCACTTGAACTCCCAGGTGTCCTTTTTTTTTGCCTCTCAAACTCTTTCCCTGTATCTGATACTTCTGCAGTTTGTGCAAATCCATATCCACCCTTGGCCACTTGCTGTATCCTGGGATGTGTCAAAGGGTGAAGCCCTTGGGTAATTTGGCTTGGCCACACTTAGGAGGACAAATGAAGAGTGACTTCATGATGTTTCCCCTTTGTATTTAAAGAATGTCCAGCAGTGGGGGAACATCTGCAGACAAAAAGCATTTTAGCAGTATTTTAGTGTTAGTCTGTTTTCCCTGACACCACTTTTGTGATTAAAGCTCAGTCCTGAGGATTGATTTCTGTACCTGGCTCTGCCACCAACTCCTTTTGTGATCCTGTGCAAAACATTGAATCCCTCTTTGCGTCATTTTTCCAGGCATAAACTGAGCAGAAGAAAACTTCTTGTTCACAGCCAACCCATCTTCTTGGACTCTTTGCTTCCCAGAGCTGGGGCTGAATTTTTGTGTCTGGGTATCACCCAGGCCAACACAACCTGTGTCACGACTGGGGTTTCTCTGTGAGATTTGAATGTAGACAAGTGATAATAATGCATCAAAACAATTTAGAAGCAGATGTGCAAGGCTGGCATTCCTGCCCATGGCAAGGGGTTGGAACTAGATGATCTTTAAGATGCCTTCCAACCCAAACCATTTTATGATTCTACAAGCCACAGCCCTGGGCTTGTCTTTTGACCACCCATAACTGTGTTTTCCCATGATTTCTGTGAACAGAACTCCTCATTTTTTTTCCCAGCTCTGCTTTTTATTGGTTTTTGGTTTTTTTTAATCGCTTGCTCCTCTGTGAGCCACACCACAGAGTCCAATGCCACTGAGATCTCTTGCTGAAGTGCAATGATGTGACAAATAGAACATCCTTGCTTTCCTGTCCCTAAGTCACACAGCACTTTCAGCTGCACCACCTCGGGTCTCACGACACACAGACCTGTGAAGGACTTGAGACAAATTATCAGCAGGGATTTTGCTGCCAGGAATCAGTGCCTGCTCCCTGTGTGTGCCAAGGCCAGGGGTGGGCAGGCTCACACCACCCAAGGGTATGGGATTAGTCACTGAAGCAGGGAATGGCAATAATCATGGCATGCTCAGGTGGGTCATCCCTCACCCATCTCCCTCTTCCTCGTGCCAAAAGCTGATCATACTGGGTTGATTGCAAGTGCTGGGGCTCCCACTGTTTCCCACTGGGAAGATTGCTCTCTGCCCTGATACATCCAGCAATTTCAGCCCTTCCTGCTGACATTTTTACTTACTTATTTATATGTCTCCTTTGCTCCCCTCCCTTTTCATTTCCGCCCATCACTCCGTGTCCAGGCTGTTGGCAGAGCTATCACAAGTGCAATAAGGATTGGCAGGTAGGGCACCTCTGAGTGATAATTGCATGCCTTGGGTGGTGTGACAGGGGACAAAGCCCAGAGCTGAGAGTCTCAAACCACTTGACAAGAACAATAATTGTCCCGAATTGTGCTGCCTGCGGTGACTTATTGCTGTTATCAAATGAAACATCTCCAGGAAAGACAGGGAGAGGGGCAGATCTGAGTCCTGACTGGTCTGAGCACCCAGGGACCATCAGAACTGGATATGACATCCCTGACACACCACGAGATAGGCTGGTGTCCTTAGAGCACCCTTAAACTGAAGCTGGAGCCACTTAGAAAGGTGCCTCTCTAAGATGGTTCTGATCCTTGGTGTAAACCTTGAGCAATCGGGAAATGCAAGGCAAGAGTTAAGGCTTGTCCCTGATTCTATCCTGTGTGAAAGCAGGAAAAAACCCCTGCTTTTTGCAAAAGTTATTGTGCAAGAGGCAGATCTGAGCTCACTGGTGCCTAATGTGTGAGGGGAGGGGGTAGATCTTGAGGTTTAGGATGGAAAACAAGGCAAGAACGATTGCTTGGCCTAATGTGCACCACCACCAGACCTGCTGGCAGGACAGCATCCCTTCGGGGACACACCATCACAACACATCCTCCCACCCTCCTTTGGACCTTCTCCAAGCCTGCAATGCAGGTGCTACGTTCAGTGCCTCCTCCAGCAACTGTGCTGAGTAAAAAAGCTCTGCCAAAGGGGGTTGATTCAATTTGCAAACAAGCTCACTCGGCTGTTTCTAAAGCCAGGTGACCCCCGGAGCAGAGGCTCATTGTATCACAGTGGCTCCAGGCTGAATGCTAATTCTGGCAGGGAAGGGAATAATCATGATGGAGACATATCTCCAGCACTCCTTCCCTATTGTCTGTGTCCTCTGCCACCTGCTCAAACAGCCAGGGCTTCTCTGTTCCCTTTTTGTAGCTGTGTGAATGTTGCTTTCTTTTGTCTGGCTCTCCCTTCCACATCTCTTTCTCTCAGTGTCTGGCAAATTCAGAGCAACAATGAAATAACATTTCTCAGAAATAAAAAAAAAAAAAAAAGGAAGAAAAAAGAACTCAAATCAGAGTTAAAGGACCTTCAAAAGAAAAGGGGAGAAAAGGAAAGGAAAGGGAAGCAAAGAGAAGGAAGAGGAGGAAAGCAAGGGAGAGGGAAAGGGGAGGGCAGAGGAAAAGGGAGAGAAGGCAGAAAACAGCACAGAAAAAAGAGTTGATTTTATTTCCAAACGAGCCTCTCTTCCTGGAGAAGAAATAGATCCACTTGAGCCACCATCAAACGCGGGACAAGCATCCTACAGACAACACACAGCAGGGAGGTCATGGGGTGCCAGTGCCTTGGCATCAGCCCTGAGTCTCAGCCCTGCCACCCTCTGCAGCTCTGGCACAGCCTGGAGTGTTCTGGTTCAGCAAAACAGACATTAAGATCAAAATGGTGCAGTCACAGCACTCAGGCATTCCATGAGGAAATCCAGCTGGGGGCTCGTGGAACCCCACTTCTCCAGTCCCAGGCACTGGCAGCTTCTCGGGGCTGGCAGGTGGTGTGGGAATAGTAACCATTGCTTCTCAAAGCCAGAGACATTTCTTGGGTCCCACAAAAGCTGAGATTGGCTGAAGTTAATCTCCTGCTCAGCCCAACTATGCTTAAAATCATCCTGAGATAATTCATGCTAATGCCTATGTGTACCAGAGAATTCCTGGCTCTAGAGGGTCTTTAAAGGTCTCTCTTCCCTGCTAAGGCTCTTTGGACAGATATATAATCTCTGCCCATGTCCATATAATACCCCTTTTTCACCATTGTAAAAGAAAATACTTTTTTTTTTTTTTAAAAAGCGTAATACCTTCTTAACTTCTCAGGCCACCTATTTCTGTGAAGCCTCAAACCTGGAAGCCCACAGGTCATTAACCAGTAATGAAAATCAGGAGGAGGGAGGGAGAGGGACAAAGAAACAAATAAAAGGGCCTCATTGGGAAGCTGATTGTTTGCAAAGGATCGTAAAATGTGCGAAGTGCCTGCGACGTTCAGCTGGTGCCTAATGCAGCAGAATATGTTGTGACAAGCAGTGCCCAGCGTGGAGTGGCAGAGCTGCGGTGAAGTGGCTAAAGCCTGTAATTAGCTCTTTGACTAATAAATCACCTCGCAGCAGCAGCAGTGAAAACGACTCAGATGCATATCTCGGAGACATGAACCTCATGGAGAAGACTCTGGAGAAGTAGAGACTGCTATTGCAGGTGGGAACAGCTCCTGGCAGACGACTGATTTGTCCCCAGAACGGGCATGGCTGTGGTGACAACGCTGTGGTGACTCACACAGGCTCCCTGGGAGGGGGGGTCACTGGTCCTGCACTGCAGGTGGGAAATGGAGGTGGGCAGAGGGAGAAAGGGACTCACCTAAGGGCATGTGGTGAGTCAGTGGCTGCAGGAAGGTCTGACTCAACCCAAGGCCAGGTTGGACAGGGCTTTGAGCAGCCTGGTCTAGTGGAAGGTGCCCCTGCCCATGGCAGAGGGTTGGAATGAGGTGATCTTTAAGGTTTCTTCCAACCCAAAGCTTTCTGTGATTCTGTGGTCTCACCCTTCTTTTGACCCACCACATCAGGCTGTTTATATGGGGTTTTCTATGTCCCATCACAAAACCCCTGCAAAATAACCTAAACTCTCCATCTGGAAACCCAGTTTGTGGCACTGTGAGGATATGAGCAGGTTAAGCTGACAATGATGCCTTATGGGTCATGGCTAAGGTGCTCCAGCATGGCCAAATACCGGGATCCAGGGCTCCAGGGCCAGAAGCAACTACTGTGTGGTGACACTAGCCAGTCTGATCAGAAAAAGGGGCAGTTTTCAACCTACCAGCCAGCATTTCCTTGACTGTGATTGGAATCATAGAATCACTGAGGCTGGAAAAGACCTCCAAGATCATCAAGTCCAACCTTTGACCAAATATCCTCATGCCCACTAAACCACACCTCCAAGTGCTATGCCTACACATCTTCTAAACACTTCTAGGGATGGTGACTCCACCACTTCCCTGGACAGCATGTTCTAATGCTTAACCACTCTTTCAGCAAAGAAATTTTTCCTGCTATCCAACCTGAACCTCCCCAGCACAACCTGAGGCCATTTCCCCTTGTCCTATCACTTGTTATCTGGGAGAATACATCGACCCCCACCCAGCTACACCCTCTTTTCAGGGGATTATAGAGAGCAATAAAGCATCCCTTGAGCCTCTTCTCTAGATTAAACAGCTCCAGTACCCTCAATAAGGTAGAAAGGGCTGTGACACCACCCCAGATCCCACTGGGACAGTGCTATGGGCACTTTTAGTCCTGTGTGGCCCCTGCAGCTCTCCCAGGCACACAGGGCTCGCTCACCGAAGTGTTCTGGCACTGCACACTGGAGCTGTTGAACCTCAGGGCTGGCACCCTCTGCTCGCTGCCCTGGATGTTCAGGATGCACTCGTAGCCTCTCTGGCCCGACTGAGGCTGGGGCAGGTTCTTGGCCTTCAGTGTGATGGGTTTGATCACTTCCACTGGCACCAGGATCTTCTCAGCCTGCAGCAGCTGGGGACAGTCCTGGGGAGAGAGCAGACAGCACACCAAGTCAGGACATGAGGTTTCCCACCCCCAGGTGGAGCCCTCTGATGCTTCTCAACCTTCTCACTTTGCCTGCTTACAAATCCTTTGCAGCAGCTCCCTGGACCTCGCTCGGTTACGGGGGAATTGGGGAGTGTTACAGGGAAGGCTCAGATAAACAGGAGAGGAAGGATTTCTTTTACAGACCATCCTTTCCTATCTCCCTTGCTTACACTGCACACTTTCAGCCTTCAGGACCCAGGGAAGCCACCTCTGGTGTTTTTTAATACCTGCTCTGTTATTCAGGTAATGGAAAAGGAATCATGTTCCCTCCATGGGTTTAGTCCAGTCACAATGCCGTGATAGAAGTGAATAAAGCCAAAACCTGAGCATAATTCCTTGCTTCCCAACACCATTATATAAAAGGCACAGCTCCAGCCAGCTCCAGCAAGATGTGTGCAACCTATGGAGTCAGGGATGTTAAAAAGAGAGTTTATGTTGGCTTAGAGGAGGACAAAATATTTATTACAGACAGATCCATCTCCCAAGAAACAACCGTTACACACTGTGTGGAGATCCCTTGGAAAGGCTCACCAAAGGAGCAATGCCAAGTGGATGTTGTTAATCTGGTGCCTCTGGGTGGGTCCCTCACAAAGGTAGAGGTCTGGGCACCCAAAGGTGGCACGCAGGAGGCTGCACTCAAAATGTCATTAATTTGCACATCTTTAGAGTGGCCATGTGCTGCTTCTTCATGGCACAGTCAGACAAGCTGTCACATCCATGGATTCTAGGAAGCTACCACATCTTTAGGAAATTGCTGCAGCTTTTTCCTGGCTGATCCAAGGCCATTTGATATAAAATGGGATCCCTTAAATAAACCACTGCAACGGGCTTCAAAACAAAAGCACAGACCACACTCCCTGTGAATGCCTGCCTGTTCCCCCTGGTGATTCTTTTCAACTCTCAGATGCCAAGGTCAAGTCTGTCCCCTCCTTTTCACATTTGGCACATTGGTTGCTCTCTGTAGAGAGCTCCAGTATCATGATGATGCATCCACCCTGCCCAGTCCAAAGAACAACACCATTTCAGCCTATCCTGCCCAGCATTAAAGCCAGGCCCAGCTGGGGCCAGCAGAGACAGGGGACTTCCTTAAAGAGGTGCAACCTTAATCTGTAGGGGTTGGCAAAAGGAAAATGACTGATTCAGGGGAGAAAAGAACTGAAAGGTTCAAAAGTGGAATTTATGGCTTATTGAGAGCCTGGGAGCTTGTTAGAGCAGATGGTGGGAGCATCTTACTGAAACAACCAGCTTAAGGAGATAAAGAAACGGATTAGAAGTGTAACATCTGCAGTTACATCAACCACGAGCAGAATTACAAGAGCCATCAGTCATGACATTGCATGTGTGAGTCGATCCAGGGGCAGGAGGAAAATCCAGTAACCACCCAATGTCCCTGCAGTGAGGTCCAGAAGCCTTCCTCAGTCCCAAAGAGGGTCTGTCTGTCCTGGTGAGGATGCCAGACAGAAGAGTCCTTCAGGGCCACGTGATTTCCCATCTGCACTTAGAGGCTGAGAGCTACTGGTGGGCTCCAATTGGCCTTGCCCAGGTTGGCACCAGAACCTGGACAGGAGCTGGGTGGAGCTGAACCATCCTGGGTCCAGTGTCCATTTTCCCCCTAAACTGGCACTAGGCCTGGCTTGATACCTGCTACCAAGGGCTGAGGCTTAACAGGCCATCAGGTTAACCTGGTTGGAAGGTGTAAGCACTGGAGGTGGAAAGGAAAGCCCACGGGTGACTGCAATTCAGTGATGAACTTCACAACTGTGATTCTCTGCACTCAGGGGGGGTGAGGATTGAGTGCTTGAGGGGCTACACCCTGTTCCAACACTCCCTTCTCCTGCTGCTGGGCTGCCCTGTGATGAAACATCTCTAGGGAGTTACTAACGCTCAAACACAACGGTTAAAGCGCCAGAGAAGTGTTTTTCTTGATTAAAGAGCAAGGCTTTACCATCTAGAAAGTCTTCCCAACCTTGAGTTCAATGGTCCTACCCAGCAACGTTAAGGATAAATGCAGGGTTAAGTAGATACTCAGCACGAGAAAATGAGGTACAATCTATAACTCTGTGTGATTTAGACCTATAAAAACCCAGAGGACAGGGGAAGGAGATGGTCTAGGCCATATTAAAGCAAGAGAGAGAGTTTCCAGTGCTGATCATGCCAGCAGATACCACATGTAAACACTATTTGGGACTAAATGGTTTCAACACCCCCGACCCTTGCCCGTCACGTGCCCAGCATGTCCTGGGGCTTCTGCATCTGCTTCCTCTCTTTCTCCTGGCAGAAGAAAAGACCTTGGCAACATCCTCTCCATTTTTTTTCCCTCCCCAGCCACAGGAGTTGAGAGAGAGATGCACTGGCAGAGGGAATCAGTGGGACAGGAGGATGGGAAAGCCGTATCTGCCGCTGAGCAGCCGTTTCCCAAGAGTGGGCATTTCGCTTGATGTCTGTCAAACAGCAAAGCCTCTGATGGGAGCTGGAGGATGGAGGTTGGAGATAGTCCACCCTGTTACCTGCAGGCCAATCCCAGCTCTTCAGCCTGGTCTTTCTTGTGGAGCCTTATCCCGTCCCCCTCCACCGCTGGTGCTGTAACCTTTCCGATAACACTTGTTTCAAGTTCATTAACAAGCCGTGATTGAGGCAGCCCCAAAACAGGATTCGTTTGCATATAAAAAGCTTTGCAGTGCTGTGAGGAAGTTCATTATAGATAATTGAAGAGGCAAGCGCCATAAAGAGGAAATCCTCCCAATGTGGCTTTATCTGATTGACCTAATGTTCTTTCTAATTGAAACGGGGAGGGGAAGAGGCAATTTCATTGGGTGTTGTGCTGCATAAAACCTCAGAGCTTGGACCAGGCTCTGGGTTCAGATTCACACAGAACTCATTTTGCAGCCTGTGTCAAGCTTTGGGTGCCTGGCCAGGTTTGTATTTTTGAGGGGAAAACAACAAGCTGCTCAGAGCAGGCCCAAGCAGAGGAGTCCTTAAAAAAGATTTATCTTGGGTATTTTACAGTGGAGGCACTTTCCCTGCACCCTTCTCCTCTGCAATGGACATCACCTAGACTGGAAAATATGTTTTTCACATGATGTAGAGGAAATAAAAATACGCTGCCAACAACTGCACCAAAGAAGGGCACAATCTCACCCCTTTTGCCTTTGGTATAAAATAAATTAAGCCTTTTGCCCGACTCGAAAAGGCAGATGGTTCAGAATCCAGAGGATCGTTGTTGATTCATTTTGTGTGTGTAGCTTCACTCTATTCCTTAAATGCTTTCAGATGAGTCAGACCATTTACAATAATATCCCCCACCCTTGCCAGTTACTCCTATCAGCAGCAATGCACACCTCACATCACCAAAATTTTGCCAATTACCAAGTCAGGGAGCTTTTGCAGTGAAAACACTGCATGAAATGGGCTGGACTCATTGGGTCGATGGTAGTTTAATTTTCTTTATTTATAACTCCTCACAGAGCGGCTGTGAATGTGTTTTGTTGTAGCTTGCAGAAATAATAAAAGTCTCAGAAATATGAGAACCTTTTCTCTCCCATATGTGTTATGGCCTCCATCACAAAAGCTGAGTGAGTCCCCAGTGAGAGCCATCAGGAGGATTCTGCTAAAGAGAACGACGAAAACTCTCTGAGGCCGTGTGGTCTTAGCCCTGAACTAATTAGTTAGGTTCCTTTATGGTGCCTTATACATCTAGAGTTATGATTTCATGGAAATTTCATCCTGCTTTTTCCCAGTATAAGCTGGAGGCTGACCAGATACTCTGAGTTATCATCCTCTCCTAGGAATGTAGGGATCTTTCACAGCCTTGTGATGCTACATGGGTTTTATTCCAACCTTATTTTGTACAGTTTCACTCTCTGTTACTGGTTTTGGCCAGGGTTATGATCTGAAGTGTCATCAAAGTGTTTTTCACTTTCCAAAAGACAATGGGTTTTATCTACTTTAAACGGGGGGCATTCCACATGGGAACAGGTAAAACATCCATGAAGGTTTAATACAATGACCCATCCACACATCAACAATCTCCACCTTATATTGCTGTCCCAGTGCACTCCTTTTCACTTGTGCATCTCTGCTCACACAGAGCATCCAGGTGAGGGAATCTTTCCAACTTTTCCCTCATACTGGCTCCTCATGATCCCTGGTAGCACTGGCTGGATCTCCACTTAGAGCTCACCTATCGCTGATTTTATTGGAGGAATCTTTGGCAAGATAAACTCAACCCTTGGCAGTGGATTTTCACCCTTCCTTTCCCAAAAGGGCAGGAGTCATCTCCATTCAGGACCAGACACAGCCACCACCACCAATTCCTTTATTACTCATCTCAAAGCATCCAGTTCCCTTTTTCTTTCTTCTCCATTTCTTCACCCTCGAATTTAGAGTTTTTTTTAAAGACTTTCTTTTCAATATCCCTCATCCACCCACCATCTTTGTTCCTTGTCCAAGCCATCTTGCGTGGAACAAACGTGACCGTAAAGTGAATCTGAGAGGGAAGCAGAATTTACTCACTCAAGACCTTTGGGGCCCCACAAGAAATGAAACTCAGATTGTTATTTACTCACATATCACATAAATAAATACATCTTTTGTTCATCTCCTCTGCTGAGCTGCAATGTTCTGTTTTTCCCTGTGCTCCCTGTGGCTTTCTCACCCGCCCACACTGTGCTGTAATCAAGTCAAGAGGGTAAGAGTTGAGAGACAGGGATTGGGTATTTATAAAGATATCTAGACCACGGCATCTGGATGCTCTGTAAATCAGATTAGATTAGAAAACATCATGACAAACACAGAACAAGGAAAGAGAAAGAAAAGGAAGGGAAGGAATGAGAAAAAGGAGGGGAAATCCGGGCAAAAAAGAGGCAAAAAAGAGGCAAAAAAACCCCCAACCTTTCACTGACTTTGGAGAAATCAGATTTCACTCAGATAAAAAGCAA